TTTGTCTCTCTCACTATGAGATCGGTCTCTCACTCTCATTTTCTCTCTCTCGTTCATATCCAGAGTAGAAGAAGAAGAAGACGAAGAAGCTATAGAAATTGCTAAGATGTTGATCACCTTGAGAGGTAAGCTTAACAAGAATGCGGAGGAGAGTAATATTACAACTGACACGGGAGAGAGAAGTTGAGGGAGAAGTGTTGCAGCCTTGCAGGTGAGGAAGAGTGGAAGAGTGAAGACGTGTGCTTACTCTTGCTCAGCGCCACATCACTCTCTCTCTCTCTCAGCTTCAAGTAACGGTGTGTGTAACGGAGGGGCTGATACTGAAAGTGAGCAAACAATAAGGATTGAATGAAAAAAAAAAAAAACAAAATACAAGGATCTGATTCAAAAATTAGCAAAACCATAAAGACGAGCATATTAGTTTTCCCTAAATCCTATATATAATGCTTTTTTTTTTTTCCCGTCAATCCCTTTCTGGATTTATAAATATATTAATGGCAGGGGTTTCAAATTAACGGGTGAAATTCTTTTCATTACCATTTAATTACAACCGTTATTATTGTTGTTGTTTTTGGTATAAGGGAAGACCCCACCCCCCCTTTTATCTAATGAATTTTCTGGATAGGGGCCATTTAACACGAGTCGAGTGTCTGAGCAATTAACATGTCCGGATTTGAGAAATGAGATTGTGTCGATTAACAGATTACTTCCTTTACTAATAAATGCGTTTTCCCAAATTTGAATTTATATTCTTCTTTTTATAAGGTGAGGCCATTTACGCATAGTCAGCATTTGTTGATCCTCGTAGTTGCGATCATTATTTTTTTTAGTAGTTTTTTTTTTTCTTTTTCAAAATGGTGTGATCATTACTATTAGAAAGTGTTTGTACACTCATATATACGCGAAACCAATGTGCTCGATCATTTGGAAAATCCGAAATCCGAAACCCAACAGTTCCAATAACTCCGAACTTTTGCTGCATCCCAAAAAATGAAGATCTCATTTCTCAAAACTATCATGATGTTACATGGGATATATTCTAGAAATGCATATGTGGAATTTGCGTCTCATGTTTTGTGGAAAAGAAAAAGAAGGAACTACCAGAAGCACTTAAGGAAGGCGATGATGAGATGGAAGAAGTAATTATCATGGCGAAGCAGTTCAGGTCTCACAAATCTGTCCAAGTTACTGAGATTGCTGCGAGGAAGGAGATTGCCACTGTGCAGCATCGTCGTCACGCTCCCTATTGGTTCTGACATCAGAGCCCTCACCAGCTTCATCAATGGCCGCCCTATTATTGGCGTTATTACCATCATCTCTCTGCAAAATCCAGCTCACTTCATCAACTTCAAACCTTCACCAAAGGTCGCTCTTTCATTATGATATGTCAAATCCACGTCAGCAGATAATTTTATATATCATAAAATATTGATGTCCTTAATTATTATATTATGTTTTTTAAACTTTTTATCAGTATAAACATGTTTAATAACTGTAAATAACAGTTTTATGTTGTTAAATATATATAGTGTCGCGTTTTATATATTCTTTCTGTTTCTACTTATAAAACATTTTATGAAGATTTCATTGTTAAAGTCAATAGTCTCGTGGCTTGATTAATGACGTTTAGGCACTTCTTTATGTGGAAGGTTTTGATTAGATGTCAATTGTAACTAAGTTGTCATGTTAAGCTGTGTCCCTCTAAATAAAATAAAAAAATAAAAAAACTACTATATGATATGAATATCAACCGTATTTTTGTAAAAAAAAAAAAAAAAGGTGACCAGCTGCTGCTGACTATATACGAGTGTATCAGTAATGGAATAAACTGTGAATTTAGGGACAGACAAACGTAGTTACACTAAGACATGTAATCTTAGAACAAAACCAACCAACGAATGAACAAAATGTGAATATGGAAAAACAAGTTATTTCTACTTTCTACTCTCCCTCTTTCAGATTCCCATCTACCACCAATGCCTTTGAACAAAAACAGAAGAAACAAGACAATAACCAAACGAACATATTATTAAACAACGTATACTCGAATGCAGAAGTTGTACTGTTCTTCTCATATGCAAAAACAAACAGAGAGATCTCAGAGAGAGGGAGAGGGAGAGATCATACCTGAGAGGTTGGGGAGAGAGATGATGAGGGAGTGAATCTGTTAGAGAGAAGAAACAGCAGAGAGAAAGGAGAGGAAGAGAGGGGAGAGAGAGAGAGAGAGAGAGGGAATTTTGGTAGTGAACTACTGAAACATATTGAATGGGTTTTGTTGCCTCTTATATATATAACACATAATTACGCACATGCATGCTTCCCACCATCACCCAACCAATCAAAACTACATATTTAATATAAATTCTATGCCTTATATACATAAATAATATTAAGAACTAATATTTATGCTGTTTGTTTTCCAGAGCTAATATTTATGTTGTTAAAGTAAAAATAATACTCCTCCGGTCCTTATTATAAGACCCAATTTGACTTTTTATTTGGTCCTAATTATAAGACCCAATCCATTTTGTCTCTTATATTTATGCATTTTTTCCCAAGACAATCCTTCTAATAATGATAGTTTTAGCCAATATACTTAATTAGCAAGGATATTTTAGGAATGACAACACTTATTTATTATAAATAACCAACTTAACTTACTTCCTTAATCTCCTCAAATAAGTCAATTGGGTCTTATAATTAGGACCGGAGGAGTACAATAAAGTGATAACTATATTACGAGGACACATAAAAGATACATATACATACATACATATATAATACTATTAAGTTTGGAGAGGAAGTGCACAACATAAAGCCTTTTGAGGTTGGATTCGTAGGATTTTTTTTTTTGGGAAAAAAGGACTGTCAGGTTATTTAGGAAATATGCATATAAATAAGTGTATTTTTGGTAAAATATTTTAATTTCGTGGATCTTATAAAATTTGTGAATCAAATTTATTTAATTATCCTTGCAATAATAAGATGGTCAACAGTTTATAATATACCCTTGACGAAATTTCTATTGTTAACAATTTCAAGGACGATAGCAAGAGAATTTTTCAGCTGAAAATAAATTATTTAATGCGACGAATAATAATTTCAACTTGTTATTACTTTTTATCAAATTCAGATATTAGATATTTTAGTTCAGTCAAGAAATATAAAATGATGTTGAGATCTCAAGAATGAAAAGAAAATATAATCCACTTATAAAGCCCCTTGTTTTTGGATCCTTCATAGTATTATATTATTTTAGGTACTTTAGCTGTTCCAGTTTGGTGAAGAAAACAAAGGGAAAAATCAAAAAAGAGACATAATGAAAAAGGATGGTGAAGGGATGTTGAGTGGGTTTCACTAGATTTTGAATCTCAGACTCCAAGAAAATGTGTAGATTTTGTCGAGAAAACTGTGGACTACGCAAATGGTTCGGTTGGAAAGTAAGGGAAACATAGAAAATGAGGTTGATGTCGGCCTGCAAAACTGACACACAAAACTGTAAGCTTTTGGGAGCAACTGGTTTTGGGGCTTCCAACTACCATACCAACATCTACAGTTTAACACCGCCCATTGCTTTAATTTAAAACCCTTAAATCCACGTGCACATCCCTCCATTCTAAGTGTGATTACTTTTTTTTTTTTGAATACGAGTAATGGAGTCAGATTTAACTATTATTGTATTGGAGGTAACTCTTCCAAATGCACACTCTAACTAACTAGCAATGAATAGTATTAAAACTTAAATGTCAGATTTCTTAATCTACTCGAGTTACCGATGTTAGTTGGCCTGGATTTTATTTTTTTCTCCCATTTGAATACAAAAAACAACATCACATCATATATTATCCTAGGTGAAGATTCAATTTAGTTTTAAATAGAAGATCCCGATTCACCTTATCTTTTATATTTATTTATTTTTTTCCCGAACAATTCTCATGGTACGTGGTTATACATGTTAAATGGTTTTTATTATAATACACATGATAAATAAAAAATTTTAAAAAAGATAACACTCATTTATTATAAATAAATAACCTAATTAATTTTTTCAATATTCTTAAATAAGTTATTTAGTTGTCATATTAAAGACATGAGGTGATATATGTTTTAGTGACTCAGTTATGTTGTATCATATGTGTGTTATGCATGATTAATGTGGTTATTACTTAAATATTACTTATATGAATATATTTGTATATTTAAGTTGTGTTACTGTAGTTACGATTAAATTGATTCCAGTTCAACACTGGCATTCGAATTACTTCCTCAACTAATTAGTTCAATTTTGAATATCTTGGATATATAATATCCTGATATGTTTTAGTAACTCAGTTATGTTGTATCATAAGTGTGTTATGCATGATTAATGTGGTTATCACTTAAATATTGCTTATATGAATATATTTATATTTAAGTTAAGTGTGTTACTTTAGTTACGATTACATTGATTCCAGTTCAACACTGACATTTGAATCACTTCCTCAACTAATTAGTTTAATTTTGAATATCTTGGATATATGATATCCTGACTAATTTAAAGTGTTATTAAATTCAAATAGAATGACGCTTCGAACATGTTTTTCTGTGACAATAAAGTTTGATTATTTATTGTAAAATACTCTTCAAGATCAAGAACAAGTCTGATCTCTTAGGCAAGAGAAGCTTCCTACAAAGCAATCCGAGCCAACCATAAAGAGCAGATTCAAGCAATCAATAAAATTGTAAGAAATTTGATACTTCTGCGGACTTTATTAATAAAAATCAAGAGCTTCCATAGCATAAAGAACCTCAGCTAAAAGATGTCTTCTGATTGGTAAACAACCATGGAGAAATTTTCCCCAGAAAAAGAGACATAGAAAATTCTCAAAACTAAAGTGATGTTGCAAGCCTAAAACGCTACATTTTCATCAGCAAGTAATCAGAAAGCACATAGTTTTACTCATTGATCTCTACATAAAGGAAATAAAATCATTGATCGTAATGTGTACAAAAGGGACCAGTTATCTGACATCTAGATTGGAAATTGTGACATAATTTGCGGAATAATGTTCTTGCTTGATGTTATGTAGCTCAGACTCTTCCTCAACGTCACCGTTAAAGTATGCTGGCTGCTTTGGTTTAGCAAGTTGAATATAATCATTTGACAGAAAAGAAATTACATCTAACATGGAAGGCCTGTCTTTTGCTTGATCTTGAACGCACAAGAGGCCAATATGAATAACTCTCTGCACTTTGTTTTGCACACTCGGTTCATCTAATGCTGGCTCTATTAGCTCTAAAGCTCTGCCATTGTTCCAGAGCTGCCATGCCTAAGAAAATCCCAGCATCCAGCAAAAGTGTAGCAGATCAGTTATTAGAATAAAATATATTGGATTTTAAGAGATAGTTCTTTTAGAAACTTACATATCCTATTAGATTAAGAGGACAATCGAAATCAAATCGACTGTAATTCTTTTTGCCACTAAGAATCTCTATCAGCAACACACCAAAACTGAATATGTCTATTTTGGTTGAAACAGCACCATTGATTGCATATTCTGGAGCCATATAACCACTTAAGCAGAAACAAAGGAAAATAATATTAGAATCCCAAATCAGTCAGGTGTTGTATAGAAAGTGCAAAAAATGAATGGTCCGCTTATAAACCTACCGTGTACCGACTACTCTATTTGTGTTTTCTTCAGATTCTCTTGATCCAAATATTCGAGCCATACCAAAATCAGATAATTTAGGATTCATTTCTTCATCAAGTAATATATTGCCCGCCTTCAAGTCACGATGTATCACTTTCAGCCTGGAATATTTGTGCAGATAAAGAAGTCCTTGAGCAACTCCTTCAATGATGCTAAATCGTTTTTCCCAATCTAATACCTTTGTTCTGCTGGCATCTGTCATAAGGTAAGATGCTTATTAGAAAGCTCGAACACTCACAACTTTGTTGAATACAAGAGAAAACCTACCAAATAGGTAGAAATCCAAGCTTTTGTTAGGCATGTACTCATAGACTAATATTCTTTCATCTCTTTCAATGCAGAACCCCAAGAGCCTCACAAGATTAGTATGCTGCAGTTTAGCCATAAGTTTAGCCTCATTTTTGAATTCTGTAAGCCCTTGTCCAGAACTATTAGAAAGCCGTTTTATTGCAACTTCCTGCCCATCACTTAGTGTCCCCTGAAAGTATTATTGTACAAAGTTTATATCAATGTAGCTTCAAATTTCAATTCTCACACTCACACACACACACACACACTACCTTATACACAGGACCAAAACCGCCCTCTCCAAGCCTGTTAGAATCTGAGAAATTGTTTGTGGCAACCACAATGCTCTCAAAACTGAATATGTCAACCTCATGTCTTTCCTTCGCCTCTTTCTTGTTCCTTTTGGTTCTGCCATACACCATAGAAATCATTGCATTGCCCCCAATTTCATGTAATATCTTCATTTGCTTCGTTTTCCTATCCACTGGTAATGTGACAAGACAAGTCACCAAGAGGACTTCAACTCGGTATTTTATTTGGATATTACTAATACTATATGGTAATTATTACCTTCTGCTTTGTATTTTCTCAATGAAGCGTAGCATAAGTAGCAGATCAGAGGTAATGCTAGGCTTGCTCCCACCGCAACGATAAGCCACACCCACCACCTATTTACTAAAGTTCACCAGAATATGATTTTTCAAGTCACGGATACGATAGTGAAAATTTTAAATGGAGGTTAATAGGTCCCCCATTTAGCTACTACTGTATTAGTAATATATCTTTGATCATGCATCTGAAAGTAATAGGCCTTGTTGCTTTTATTTATCTGTTTTTCTTATAGGTCAGTAATAGCTTTGCTTATCTTTTGAATGAAGTTATCATTCCCTATTCAAAAAAAGGAAAGAAAAGAAACAGTACTCATCATTCTGCAAGGTTTTTTTACCAGCTATAATAATGGCTGAGAGCTAGATTGAATCATTTTGTTCAAGAATATTCACAAAGATGATACTTTTATGATCCTAGTCAACTTCTCTGACTTGATTTCTTGGAGCTGGGGACAGAATCAGTTTGCTGACCGAAAAAATGGGAAAGAATCATGAAGCGACGGATGTGTAATGCAGGTTGCAGTGATTTCTTAATGTCAACTTAAAACTGTAAATAATAGTATCAAGATTCCAAAACTATTCCCGATATATAAAAAAGTCAACATGCATTGCAGAACATGTAAAAATACTACCTCCCATTCTTAATATAAAACCTAGTCAACAAATTTGAAGAGATTAAAAAAATTAAAAGAATTATTTTAAAGAATTTAAATTTATCATTTTTTTCCAAACAAATTTGTCTAACTCAGAAACCTATATATAATCTAATGACATATGTGAGTATTATAGAAAGATAATATAACATATGCTTTAATTAAGTAATTTTTTTAATTTTCTTAACCTCCCTAGATTGGTCAACTATCAAAGAACGGAGGTAGAATAATAAATAAGCCTTGCTCTGGTTAGGGAACAGGGGGGAATACCTTTCTGTCTAACAAGATAGATTGACTGTCCTTTTAACCTTGCATCTTCAGTGAACCTGGTACCTTTAAGCCATATCTGGCATCCAGTATTGTTAGCTTGATTCACTGGTGCATAAGCCTCACAAGAACAATTGTTCCGGCATATGGTCTCACAACACTGCCCCCCAAGACTCTCACTTTCGTAAACCCTAATACTATCAGTGGACATGTAACCAAAACGCTCTTCAAAGCCAGTATCATGGTTCCTGCATTTGGGAGCACTTTGAGGTGTGCAAGGAGAACCAATTTGAAGATCCCTAAGGATGTCGCCCACTGGTTCCATGCTTTGAAAAAGTTATTAGTATTGGCTTCTGAATAATCGCAGGGAGGGTTGTTGAAGAAATGTACCCAGACATAGTCAAAAAGGCCTGTATCAAGGGCAGTATTAAGATAAGCATCAGGAAATGGGCATTGAGGTGCCGCAGATAAGTACACTTTTTGGCTATCAGTGCTATGTGACTTGAGGTAACGTGCAAGATCCACACAATGTAGTGTAGAATGCTGTACATCCAAATCTATGCCATCTAATATGGCATCTCCAAATGGGCGTGAAGATGAGCTTCCGCCTAAGAAATTTTTCCATAAGTAATCAGAAACATTTTGAGCATCCTTTGAGGAAGATAAAGAGTAACTCGCATATCCTCCTCCAAGAGAGAGCATTACTTTGATCCCTTGTTGTTGACAATGCTTGATCTGTGTGCCAATGGCTGTGCACCGAGATGAAGAAGAAGGGTCACAGTGACCTGCGAGGTTGAGTTGAGGGGTTTGGCCATCCCCAAAGGTCGAAAGGAAGCCAACCAGTACAAAAGAGTATCTTCCAGTTGCACAAGTCTCCGCAAGATTGCCTTCGTCGAAGCTCTGACCCCAGTAAACGGCAATTTCATCGGATGCGGAAGAGGAAATTAGGATGAGAAGGAGGAAAGGAAGGAAGAGAAGAAAAATCCTGGTCATCTCGCTCGGGTCACTGACCTAATCTGATATTTGTTCTTGAATCATCGGCTTCCTGTCTTATGGTGGCCCCATCCGTGAATAAAAGTCAACAACGGTTGACGCCCGAGGCCGCGTTTTCGTCCTTTCGTCCTTTTCTTTCCTCCCGGTTTACGCTTAGTTTTCTTTTTCCTTGCAACTTTTTCGTACAAGTCACCGCCAATCCTTTCTCGTTGGATGTTGAATATTTATTGACTGTGATTACGACCTTGGTTGGTTCCACGCAAAAGCGTCCTATTCGTCTGCTTGGGGCGGTCAATTACTCTGTTAGTCCGCTCCTAATTCCTAGACCTTCCTCTCATAATTTGGCCTTCCTCCTTCCCATATTTTGTGAATGCTGCACAATATGCCACTCCTCTTGATGCTCGTCTCCGTCTGGCAACAATCTCAGCATGGTTTGAATGGTACTACTTTCGGACTCCATCATGGTATCATCTGTTTCTTATAGATAAGCCCAAAATAGTAATATCCATTAAAATCTGATCAGATTTTTTATCCTATAAAGATTCAAAGTTTACTGCATTACATCAGTAGATAATGCTGACGTTTATAAAATAAATATAGATTTTAAAATAAAAAATTACTATACGGTCCCATTTATTGTAAGACTTCTGAGTGGTTAGACTATTTATATGGATTTTTTTTGCCAGCAGTGTCAAGTGCAATCGCTCATAAATACTTGATTTAATTACTCCACTCAAATTCATCTGAGATTGATAACACTGATCAGACCAGAGCTTCATAGAGTTAGGTCCTTCTATTTAAACATGATAAATTCATCAAAGTATGGCACAAACTCCTAAAATCATGATACTTCACTGGGGCATCACAGATCATTATAAACTTCCATATCAAGAATCTCTTTTCCATCTATTCAGAAGACTCGAGTACCTCATCCTACAAGATAACAAAAAACTATAATCCAGTCAGGCCCAAGTATCACTGAAAGCTGCTGGAGAAAGAAACAGCAAGAATTAACCCCGACCAGCGGCTTACAAAAGAAAGAAAATAAATTCAAGCCATGAAGTTCTGGTTTTTCACGACAATCATCCCAAATTTAAAAACAAGATTTCTCGTTTAAGCCTGCAACTCGTGAATTCTAATCCTGTTGCCCAAAGTTATATTCCTAACGTCAAATTTTATTAAAGGACGATTAAAGTATAACATCTTCAGTCTTGGCAGGGGAAAATGCCAGGGGATAGAAGAAATCAATCATATGAAATGAACAGTTAGCCGCAACTAAAACGAATCACAGCCATAATACTCACTCGCAGTACCATTTTCCACCTCATTTTCCAATCAATTAAGCAAACAGCCAAGAAAAAAGGCAATCAATTCAAACTTTTTATTATTATAAACATGTTTAATAACTGTAAATAACAGTCTGTATGTTGTTAAATATAGGAAAAATTACACTCAGGTCCACAGAAGACAATTAATTTCAAAAAGGTCCCTGGAAATCCTGAAATAATTCCTAGGGAAAAAGACAGAAAAATGCTACTTAAACTTCATAATCCCCAAATGGTATGTTAAATTTGAAAAATCCCAATTTGGTCTCAAGAGACCAAATTGCCATTCATTTTAAATATTAGTTTTAAAACATCACAGCCCCTACTGGCCGGCCGGTCACCAAAGCTCCGGCGACGGCTATCACCGGAGCTCCGACGACCAGTCGACAATTGGTCACCGGAGCTCCATCGATTGGAAATTTTTTTAAAAAAATTTTTCACAACTTCAATATAACAGTTAACAACTTTTGTAATGCTATTAACAACTTCAGTATAGCAATTAACAATAGGTTTTCTGGGAAATTCAACAAACTCCGGTGACTAGAAACAATTTTTTTGAAAATTTTTACAACTTCAATATAACTGTTAACAACTTTTGTAACGTTATTAACAACTTCAATATAGCAATTAACAACAGGTTTTTTGGGAAATTCAACAAACTCTGGTGACCGGAAACAATTTTTTTAAAAATTTTTACAACTTCAATATAACCGTTAACAACTTTCGTAACGCTATTAACAACTTTAATATATCAGTTAACAATAGATTTTTCAAAAAATTCAACAATTGGTCGCCAGAGTTCCGGTGGAGGAAAACAATTTTTTTTCAAAAATTTTACAACTTCAGTATAACGGTTAACAATTTTTGTAACTCTATTAACAATTTCAGTATAACAATTAACAACAGGTTTTCTGGGAAATTCAACAAACTCCGATGACCGGAAACAATTTTTTTGAAAATTTTTACAACTTCAATATAATCGTTAACAACTTTGTAACGCTATTAACAACTTTATTATATTAGTTAACGACAAATTTTTTGAAAAATTAAACAATTGGTCCCCAGAGCTCTGGCGGAGGAAAACAATTTTTTTGAAAATTTTTACAACTTCAGTATAATAGTTAACAACTTTTATAACCGTATTAACAACTTCAGTATAGCGGTTAACAACAAGTTTTTGAGTTTGTTAAAGGCATTATTGAAGTTATAAAAATGCCTCTTTTTGAATTTTTTTGAAAAACCTGTTGTTAACTGCTATACTGAAGTGATTAATAGAGTTACAAAAGTTGTTAACTGTTATACTGAAGTTGTAAAAATTTTCCAAAAAAATTATTTCCGGCCACCGGAACTCGTTGAATTTCCCAGAAAACCTGTTGTTAATTGCTATATTGAAGTTGTTAATAGCATTATAAAAGTTGTTAACCGCTATACTGAAGTTATAAAAATTTTCAACTTTAGTATAACGTTAACAATTACGTTTTTTTAAAAATTTTTACAACTCCAATATAACAGTTAATAACTTCGATATAACAGTTAACAATAAGTTTTTCAAAAAATTCAAAAAGTGACATTTTTATAACTTCAATAATGCCTTTAACAAACTCAAAAACCTGTTGTTAACTGCTATACTGAAGTTGTTAATAGGATTACAAAAGTTGTTAACCGTTATACTGAAGTTGTAAAAGTTTCAAAAAAAATTGTTTTCCTCCGCCAGAGCTCTGGCGACCAGTTGTTGAATTTTTCAAAAAATCTGTTGTTAATTGATATAGTAAAGTTGTTAATAGTGTTATAAAAATTGTTAACGGTTATATTGAAGTTGTAAAAATCTTCAAAAAAATTGTTTCCGGTCACCTGAGTTTATTGAATTTCCCAGAAAACCTGTTGTTAATTGTTATACTGAAATTGTTAATAGAGTTACAAAAATTGTTAACCGTTATACTGAAGTTGTAAAATTTTTGAAAAAAAATTGTTTTCCTCCACCGGAGCTCTGGCGACCAATTGTTGAATTTTTCGAAAAATCTATTGTTAACTGATATACTAAAGTTGTTAATAGCGTTACGAAAGTTGTTAACGGTTATATTGAAGTTGTAAAAATTTTTTAAAAATTGTTTCCGGTCGCTGGAGTTTGTTGAATTTCCCAGAAAACCTGTTGTTAATTGCTATACTGAAGTTGTTAATAGCGTTACAAAAGTTGTTAACGGTTATAATGAAGTTGTAAAAATTTTCAAAAAAATTGTTTACGGTCGTCGAAGTTTGTTGAATTTCCCAGAAAACCTGTTGTTAATTGCTATACTGAAGTTGTTAATAGCATTACAAAAGTTGTTAACCATTATATTGAAGTTGTAAAAAATTTCAAAAAAAAAATTTTCTGACCGACGGAGCTCTGGTGACCAATTGTCAGTTGATCATCGGAGCTCCGGTGATAGCCGCCGTCGGACCTCCGGTGACCGGCTGGCCAGTAGGGGCTGTGATGTTTTAAAAATAATATTTAAAATGAAAGGCAATTTGGTCTTTTGAGACCAAATTGGGATTTTTCAAATTTAGCATACTATTTGGGGATTATGAAGTTTAAGTAATATTTTTTTGTCTTTTTCCCTAATTCTTAAGTCTCTAGGGACTTGTGTGTAATTAATTATAATTGTGAAATTACCTATTTATCCATATTAATTTGAGCCCAATGTAATTCATTTACAACCTTAACAGTAGTTGTTGACAACCCGAGGAGAGGTGGTTAACAACCTCGGCAATGCCCCTGGAATCCCACAGAGTGAGTTGTTAGGAGCACTGCCGAAGTTGTCAACCACTTCTTCTCGGGTTGTCAACAGCCACTATTGAGGTTGTAAATGAATTATTACAATAAAATTAATAGGAGTAAATAAGTAATTTCACAATTACAATTAATTACACCCAAGTCGCTGGGGACTTCAGAATTATTTCAGGATTTTTAGGGACTTTTTTTAAATTAATTGTCTTCTGTGAGACGTGAGTGTAATTTTTCTTTAAATATATATAGTGTCGCGTTTTATTCTCTCTGTTTCTGTTTATAAAACATTTTATGAAGATTTCATTGTTAAAGTCCATAGTCTCGTGGCTTAATTAATGACGTTTAAGAACTTCTTTATGTGGAAGGTCGTGATTAGATCTCACTTGTAATTAAGTTGTAATCTTAAGCTGTGTCCCTCTAAATAAATTAAAAAAATACATTAAAAAATATATGATATGAATATCAACCATATTTTTCTTAAAAAAAAATAGTGATCAATTACTGCTAACTATATACTACTTCTGGTCTTTAATATATAAAAGCTACTCTTACTTTTAATTTAATCCTAAATATAAAACTCAAATCTACTTTGTCTCTTATATTTATCTATTTTTTTTTAAAATAGTCATTATGATAGTTACACATATTAAAAGTTCAATCAAATAATATTTTTAACTAATATATGATTAGCAAGAATATTTTAGGGAAAACAACACCAAATTATTATAAATAACTAACTCAATAAACTTTATCAATTTACTCAAATTAATCAACTAATTCTTATATCAAGGACCGGGTAGATAGTATGTCAGTAACCGAATAAACTGTGAATTTAGAGACAGACAACGTAATTACACCTAAGACATATAGGCTCTGTTTGGATAGCATCCCAAACCATGGTTTGGGGACCCAAACCATGGTTTGGGGAAAATGCTACCCAAACAGCCTCTCCAAAAACCAAAAACATGGTTTTGGGTCAAAACCATGGTTTTGACTCCAAAACCATGGTTTTGGAAAAAGCAAAATTTTTTGCTTTTGGAGAAAAAAGGGAGAGTGTGTGGGCCTATATGATATGTATCTTGTTATTTTTTTTATAAACATATTTTTTTATAAATATATTTAATCTTATATTTTATAAATATATATAGACATTAATTATTTATTAATTATATTATCTTATGTATTATTAATTATGTTGGTAAAAAACATATTATTAACAATTTTATTTCTTCAAATTAAAATATATCATAAAATCTATTTTTTCTGTAATTATCATATTAACTTATGTCTTTTTTTTAGTAATTTGTATATATAAAAAGTGCTTCTGATAACAACTATCCAAACACTCTCACTTCTCAGAATCACTTTTTTACAAAATCTATTCTTCACAGAATCTATTTTTTCCAGAATCTATTCTCCAGAATCACTTTTCCAAACCACGGTTTGGTTTCATCCAAACACACCCATAATCGTAGAACAAAACCAACCAACGACTGACCAAAATGTGAATACGGAAAACCGAGTTTCTACTTTCTACTCTCTCCTCTTTCAGATTCCCATCTATCACAAATGCCTGTGAACGAAACAGAAGAAACAAGACAATAGCCAAACAAACATATTATTAAACAACATATACTCGAATGCAAAAGCTGTACTGTTCCTCTGATACGCAAAAACAAACAGAGAGATCTCAAAGAGAGGGGGAGAGAAAGAGATCATACCTGAGAGGTTGGGGAGAGAGATGATGAGGGAGTGAATCTGTTAGAGAGAAGAAAAACAGCAGAGAGAAAGGAGAGGAAGAGAGGAGAGAGAGGGAATGAATTTTGGCAGTGAACTACTAAAACATACTGAATGGGTTGTGTTGCCTCTTTTATATAAATATATATATATATAAATATAACACATAATTACGAACGTGCATGCTTCCCACACCACCATCACCCAACCAATCAAGACTATATATTTAATATAAATTCTAGGAAAAATTACAATTAGATCCCATCCAAGAAAATTAAATACAAAAAATCTATTGAAATTATGAAATTATTCTGAAGTTTCAAGGGACCTTATTACAATAAATTTTATTTGTTTAATTACCTAATTACCCTTCTTTTTTTTTTTTAAAGTTTGTATTGACAATTAAAAGAGCAGTGGTTGACAACTCAAGATGCAAAGATTGACAACTATCAGGGCAGGTATTGACGACTTATGTATTACATTTTGTGATGTGCTGAGAAGATGTGTTGTCAATACTTGCCGCGATAATTGTCAATTTTTGCATCTAAGTTGTGAATGACTACTCTTTCAGTTGTCCATGTAAACTTTAAAAAAATAATAAGGACAATTTGGTAATTAAACAAATAAAATTTATTATAAAAAAGTCCCTTAGGGCTTCAGAATAATTTCATATTTAAGAGACCTTTTTGTATTTAATTTTCTTGGCTGTGACCTAATTGCAATTTTCCCTAAATTCTAAGTCTTATATACATAAATAATATTAAGAACTAATATTTAAGTTTTTTTTTTTTTGCTAGAGCTAATGTTTATGTTGTTAAACTGAAAATAATATAAGAAAGTCATAATTACGATGTCACATGAAAGATATATATATTTATATAATACTGTTAGTTTGGAGATGAAGTGCACAACATAAAGCCTTTTGAGGTTGGATTCGCATGATTTTGTTTTTTGTTTTTTTTTAAAAAAAGACTGTCAGGTTATTTAGAAAATATGCATATAAATAAGTGTGTTTTTGGTAAAATATTTTAATTTCATGGATCTTATAAAATATATGAATTAAATTTATTTAATTATCCTTACAATAATGAGATGGTCAACAGTTTCTACTATACCCTTGACGAAATTTCTTTTGCTAACAATTTCAAGGACGATGGCAAAAGAATTTTTCCGCTTAAAATAAATTATTTAATGTGACGAATAATAATTTCACCTTGTTATTGTTTTTTTTTTATTAAATTCAGGTAATAGATATTTTAGTTCATTCAAAAAATATAAAACGATGTTAAGATCTCAACAATCAAAAGAAAATATAATCCACTAAAGCCCCTCGTTTTTGGATCCTTTATAGTATTATACTACCTCCTGTCTTAATTATAAGGGCTAGTTAACTAATTTGATAAGATTAAAAAAATAAGTTAAATTAATTATTTGTAATAAATAGGTATTGTCTTTTCTAAAATATCTTTACTAATCAAGTGTATTGGTTAAAACTACCATTATTAAAAAGACTACCTTGACAAAATGTATAAATACGAGAGATAAAAAGAATTGAGATCTTATATTTAAAATCAAAATAAAAATCAAATAACATTTTATATTAAGAACCGGAGGTAGTATTGTTTTTGGTGAAGACAATAAAGAAGGGGCAAAAAAAAAGACATAATGAAAAAAGATCATGAAGGGATGTTGAGTGGCTTTTACTAAATTTTGAATCTCAAACTCTAAGAAAATGTGCAGATTTTCTCGAGAGAAACAGTGGACTACGCAGATGGCTCGGTTGGAAAGAAAGTGAAACATCGAAAGTGAGGTTGATGCGGGCCTGCAAAACCGACAAACAGAACTGTAAGCTCTTGGGACCAACTGGCTTTGGGGCCTCCAACTACCATACCAACATCTACAGTTAACACCGCCCATTGCTTTAATTTAAATCCATGTGCACGCACATCCCTCCATTCTAAATATGATTTTTTTTTAAATATGGGTAATTGAGTCACATTCAACTATTATTGCATCTAATTGGAGATAACTCTTCCAAATCCAAATGCACACTCTTAACCACTCGCAATGAATAGTATTAAAACTTAAATATTCATTTCTTAATTAATCTGGTCAAGAGTTTTGAGTATTTAGTTCTCATATTAAAAGCAGAAGTAGTATATGTTTAGTAAGTTATGTTGGATCAAGTGTGTTATGCACAATTAATGTGGTTATTACTTAAATATTACTCCTCCAATTTTTAATGCATGACCTAATTGTTGAATTGATTTTAGTTCTAAATGTAAGACCTATATTTTATGTTTATCAATTTTTTAAAAATTATTTTTATTGATACTTACTCAATCATAATCAAGTAAAAGAAGGAATGAGGATATTAAGGAAGATGATTATAATATTTTAGAAAAAACATGTCATATTTCTTATAATATCATATATTTATATGTTTAAGTTGTGTTACAGCTACCATTAAATTGGTCCCAGTTAACACTGACATTTGAATTACTTCCCCAACTAATTAGTTTAATTTTGAATATCTTGCACATATAACACCATGAATAATTTAAATTTAAGTGTTATTAAATTCAAATAGAATGACGCTTCGAACATGCTTTTCTGTAACAATAAAGTTTGATTATTTATTGTAAAATACTCTACAAGATCAGGAACAAGTCTGATCTCTTAGGCAAGAGAAGCTTCCTACAGGACAATCCAGAACAACCATAAAGAGAAATTCAAGCAACCAATAAAATGGGAAGAAATTTGATATGTTAATAAAAATCGAGAGCTTCATCACCATTCAGAATCTGGGCTAAAGGTTGTCTTCTTATTGGTAAACAACCATGGAGAAGGGGAAAAAAAAAACTCTGAGCTTATCGCAAAGTCAAAGAAACACAGAAAATTCTAACAACTAAAGTGATGTTACAACCCCAAAACAACGCATTTTCAGCAAGTAATCAGAAAGCATATAGTTTTACTCGTAGATCTCTACATAAAGAAAATAAAATCATTAATCGTAGTGTATACACAAGGGACCAGTTACCTACCATCTAGATTAGAGATTGTGACATAATTTGTGGAATAATGTTCATGCCTGATGTCATGTAGCTCAGACTCTTCCTCAACGTCACCGATAAAGTATGCTGGCTGCTTTGGTTTGGCAAGTTGAATAGAATCATTTGACAGAAAAGAAATTACATCTAACATGGAAGGCCTGTCTTTTGCTTGATCTTGAACGCACAAGAGGCCAATATGAATTCCTCTCTGCACTTTGTTTTGCACGCTCGGTTCATCTAATCCTGAGTCCATTAGCTCTAAAACTCTACCTTCATTCCAGAGCTTCCATGCCTAAAAAAACCCCAGCATCCATCAAAAGCTTAACAGATCAGTCATTAGAATAATATATATATATATATATATATATTGGATTTAAGAAATAGCTGTTTCAGAGACTTACATATCCTATTAGATTATAAGGACGATCTAAATCAAATCCACTGTTATTCTTTTTGCCACTAAGAATCTCTATTAGCAACACACCAAAGCTGAATATGTCTGTTTTGATTGAAACAATGCCATTAATTGCATACTCTGGAGCCATGTAGCCACTTAAGTAACAACAAAGCAAATGAATGTTAGAATCCCGAATCAATCAAGAGTCACATGGAAAGTGATTAAAATGAACTGTGTTCATAAACTTACCGTGTACCGACTACTCTATTTGTGTTTTCTTCAGATTCTCTTAATTCAAATATTCGAGCCGTGCCAAAATCAGATATTTTAGGATTCATTTCTTCATCAAGTAATATATTGCTTGCCTTCAAGTCACGATGTATGACCTTTAGTCTTGAATATTTGTGTAGATAAAGAAGTCCTTGGGCAATTCCTTCAATGATGCTAAACCGTTTTTCCCAATCTAGTACATTTCTTCTGCTTGCATCTGTCAGAGGGTAAACTGCTTATTAGAAAGCTTGACACGTACGCTAAAACATTCATAATTTTGTTGAATGTAAAAGACAACCTACCAAATATGTAGAAATCCAAGCTTTTGTTAGGCATGTACTCATAAACTATAATTCTTTCATCTCTTTCGATGCAGAGCCCCAAAAGCCTCACAAGATTAGTGTGCTGTAGTTTAGCCATAAGTTTAGCCTCATTTTTGAATTCTGTAAGCCCTTGTCCAGAACTTTTAGACAGTCGTTTTATTGCAACTTCCAGCCCATCGGGTAGTGTCCCCTGATGATATTATTGTACAAAGTTCATATCCATGTAGTTTCTAATTTCAATACTCTCTCTCTCACTCTACCTCTCACATATACACATTACCTTATATACAGGACCAAAACCGCCCTCTCCTAGCTTGTTAGAATCTGAGAAATTGTTTGTGGCAACCACAATGCACTCAGAGCTGAAAATTTCAACCTCATTCCTTTCCTTCCCATTTTTCTTGTTTCTTTTGGCTTTGCCATACACCATGGAAATCATCGCATTGCCTCCAATTTCATGTAATATCTTCTTTTGCTTGGTTTTCCTATCCACTGGTAATGTGACATAGAAGTACGAGTCACCAAGAGGACCTTAACTCAGTGATTATTTGGATATTATCAATACTATATGGTAGTTATTACCTTCTGCTTTGTATTTTCTCAATGAGGCATAGCATAAGTAGCATATCAGAGGTAATACTAGGCTTCCTCCCACTGCAATGATAAGCCATATCCACCACTTGCTTACTACAGTTCACAACAATATGATTTTCAAGTCACGCGTGGATATGATATAGCCAATTTTAAATGGAGGTTACCATTTGTTTACCAAAAAATAGGGAGGACTCATGAAAGACAGATATGTGATGCAACTTGCAACATTTCTTAATAGAAAAAAAAAATGACAAACTCCTCCGATCTTTAATATAAGACCTGTTTAACTAATTTGATTAGATTAAGGAAGTTAGGTAAGTTAGTTAATTGTAAAAAATGACATGTTTTTCCTAAAATATCATAATCATCTTTCTTAATATCCTCCCTCCCTCACTTACTTGATTATGATTGAGAGAATATCTATAGGGGTCATTTACAAAAAATTGATAAATATGAGAAATAGGTCTTATATTTAGAATCAAAATTAACTTAATAATTATGTCATATGTTAAGGGCCGAAGGAATATAATAGCATAAGGATTGGAAAGCTTCAAAAGATCACTTTTAGACTTTATGAGACCAAATTACTCATTTACCTTGTACAACATAAAATCACTTAAAAACAAAAACAAAACCAAACACCCATGTCAATGCGCATTGCAGAACAAGCAAAAATATAATATAGCCTAACGCAGTTTATGAAACAGGGCATACCTTCTTGCCTAAGTCTAACAATATAAATGGACTGTCCTTTTGACTCTGCATCTTCAATGAACCTAGTTCCTTTAAGCCACATCTGGCATCCAGTTTTGTTAATTCTATTAACCGGTGCATAAGCCTCACAAGAACAATTGTTCCGGCATATGATCTCACAACACTGTCCACTAATATTCTCTCTTTCGTGAACCTTAATACTATCAGTGGACATGTAACCAAAACTTTCTTCAAAACCATTGTCATGGCTCCTGCATTTGGGAGCACTTTGAGGTGTGCAAAGAGGACCAAGGTGAAGGCGCTTACTATATCCGCTCAATCTATCTGTGTACCTTGACCATAACATCACACCTCCATAGTTAGGTGACTTCTTTACAGTGGGAAGTACCTTAGAGTTTAACAAATCAGCAGGAACATAGCCACCTGCCTCTGCTTCGGGAGATGCTGGCAAACCCAGGAATATTTTTGACCCATTTAATGATGTCGCCCACTGGTTCCATGCATTGAAAAATGCATTAGTATTAGCCTCTGAATAGTGGCAGCGAGGATTGCTGTAGAATTTTACCCAAACAAAGTCAAAAACACCTTTATCAATCGAAGTGCCAAGATGAGCATCAGGAAATGGGCATTGAGGTGCTGCTGATAAGTACACTTTCTGGCTATCCGTGCCATGTGAGTTGAGGTAAATTGCAAGGTCCTCCCAGTATTCCCCAGAATTCTCTATGTCAAAATCAATGCCATCCAATTTGGCATCTCCAAGTGGGCGTGAAGATGAGCTTCCGCCGAAGAAATTGTTCCATAAGTAATCAGAAACATTTTGAGCATCCTTTGAGGAAGATAAAGAATAACCCATAGATCTTCCTCCAAGAGAGAGCATTACCTTGACCCCTTGTCGTTGACAATATTTGATCTCCGTGCCAATGCTGGTGCACCCAGATGATGAAGAAGGGTCACAGTGACCTGCAACATTGAGTTGAGGGGTTTTGCCATTCCCAAACACCGTAAGGAAGCCAATCAATACAAAAGAGTATATTCCTACTGCACATGTTTCTCGAAGATTGCCTTCATCGACGTTCTCACCCCAGTAAATAGCGATGTCATCAGATTTGAAGGAGCAAATTTGGATGAGAAGCAGCAAAGGAAGGAGAGATAGAAAACTTTTGGCCATCTTGCTCACCTCACTGACCTAATCTCGTATTTCCTCTTGCGTTTAAAATTTAAACCATTTGCTTCTCATTTTATGGCCACATCCATCCATGCAAATCAACAACGATTGCTCCCCACAAACACATTTTCCTCCGATCGTCCACTTTCAGCTAGCAATTGTGGGCGCAGTGACCTGCGAGGTTGAGTTGAGGGGTCTGGCCATCCCCAAAGCTCGAAAGGAAGCCAATTAGTACGCAAGAGTATCTTCCAGTTGAACATGTCTCCGTAAGATTGCCTTCGTCAATAGTCTGCCCCCAGGAAACGGCAATGTCATCGGATGTGGACGAGGAAATTAGGATGAGAAGTAGGAAAGGAAGGAGTAGAAGAAAAATCATGGCCATCTTGCTCGGGTCACTGACCTAATCTTATATTTGCTCTTGAATCATTGGCTTCCTGTCTTATGGCCACATCCTTGCATACAAGTCAACAACGGTCGCCCCCCGCCCCTGAGGACGCGTTTTCCTCCGCTCTTCCTCCCCCCCTTCCCACCTTTCTTTCCCGGTTTATGCTTAATTTTCTTCTTCCTTGCAACTTTAAATCACCTACAATTCTTTCTCGTTGAATGTTTAATATTTATTGACTGTGATTACGACCTTGGTTGGTTCCACACGAAAGCATCCAATTCGTCTGCTTGTTGCGTGCGGGTCAATTACTCTGTTAATCCAGTCCTAATTCCTAAACCTTCCTATCATAATTTGGCCTCCTTCCTTCTCATATTTTGTGAATGCTGCACAATATGCCACTGCTCTTAATGCTCGTCCCCGTCTGGCAACAGTCTCAGCACAGTTTGAATGGCACTTCTTTTGGACTCCATCATGGTATCATCTGTTTCTTATAGATAAGCCCACAATCACCCAACCAATCAAAACCATATATTTAATATAAATTCTATGCCTTATATACATAAATAATATTAAGAACTAATATTTATGTTTTTTTTTCCAGTGCTAATATTTATGTCGTCAAACTGAAAATAATGTAATAAAGTGATAATTACGATGACACATAAAACACACACACACATAACACTATAAGTTTGGAGAGGAAGTGCACAGCGTAAAGCCTTTTGAGGTTGGATTCATAGGATTTTTTTTTTCAAAAAAAAAAAAGGACTGTCAGGTTATTTAGGAAATATGCATATAAATAAGTGTGTTATTGGTAAAATATTTTAATTTCGCGGATCTTATAAAATCTGTGAATCAATTAATTATCCTTACAATAATAAGATGGTCAACAGTTTATGCTATACCCTTGACAAAATTTCTATTGTTAACAATTTCGAGGACGATGGCAAAAGAATTTTTTCTTTGAAAATAAATTATGGCTAAAATATATATTTGGTCATTTAATTTTATATAAGGTTTCAATTTGATTCTTTAATTTTAAAAAGTATACTTTTAGTCTTTTAACACTAAAATTTTTTAAGAAAATAATGACATTAAGATCTTTAATGTTGATAAAATATTCTCAAATACTGACATATAAGTTTAATTTTCAAAACATTCATACTTGGTACAAAAAATCATCATTAAAGCATAATGATTTTAGGACTAAAAGACTAAATATATGCTTTTTAAAGCTAAAGGACCCAATTAAAATCTTATATAAAATTAAAGGATTAAATATATATTTTAGTCATAAATTATTTAATGTGAAGAATAATGACTTCACCTTGTTATTACTTTTTATCAAATTCAGATAATAGATATTTTAGTTCATTCAAAAAATATAAAACGATGTTAAGATCTCAATAATGAAAAAAAGAAATCCACTCATAATGGTAATATATTATTTTAGGTACTTTAGCCGTTCTAGTTTGTGAAGAAAACCCCGGGGGGGGGGGGGGACATAATGAAAAAGGATCGTGAAGTGGTGTTGAGTGGGTTTTACTAGATTCTGAATCTCGAGAAAACTATGGACTGCGCAAATGGTTCGGTTGCATCTAATTTGGGACACTTCTTCCGAGTGCGCACTCTTAACTAACTAGCAATAAACTTAGGACAATGGCCCAAAAAAAAAAAGTTAGAATTTTGTAAATACTCCTCCGGTCCTTAATATAGAACCCAATTAGTGAGTTGGTTTTGGTCCTAAATATAAGACCCATTTCTCATATTTATCAATTTTCTCTAAATTACCTCTATGGATACTCCTTCAACCATAATCAAGTAGAAGAGAAAAATGAGATATTAAAAAAGATGATTATGGTATTTTAGGAAAAACGTGTCACATTTCTTATAATCAACTAACTTACCTAACTTCCTTAATCTAATCAAATTAGTTAAATGGGTCTTATATTAAGAACCGGAGGAGTACTAAATAAGGAATATCAATAAAAATTTGTTATCATTTACAAATTCAGACTTGTCAATACCAAATAAAGTTGTGTTACCAAATTTGATTTGAGATTTGTAATTTCTAGCTTTTTTTTTCTGTCTTTCTCCCATAAACTTAAATATCCATTTCTTAATCAATCTAGTCGAGTTATTAACATGTTGGTTGGCTTGGATTTTATTTATTTTCCTCCCTTTTGAATTTAAAAATCAACATTATACCATATACTACCTCCAATTCTAAATATAAAAGCTAATTAAAAATTTGATTTGATTTTAAATATAAGACCTCAATTCACTTTGTCTTTCACATTTATTCATTTTTTAAAGAGTAATCCTCATAGTGATCACATCATACATGTTAAAATGTTTTCATTCTCATACACATAATTAATAAGAATATTTTAGAAAGCATAATATTCATTTATTACAAATAACCAACTGAATTGAATTGTTTAATATATTCTCAAATTAATTATCTAACTCTTATATTGAGGTAATGTATGCTTTAATAACTCAGTTATGTGGCATCGTAAGGGTGTTATGTATTATTAATGTGGTTATTACTTAAATATTAATTTTTTTTTCAATAGTTATATTATGAGTATATTTATATATTTAAATTAAACTATGTTACCTTAATTACGATTAAATTGATTCCAGTTCAAGATTGACATTGGAGTCACCTCGTCAACTAATTAGGTTAATTTCCAATATCATGACTAATTTAAATTTTAGTGTTGTTAAATTCAAATAGAATGACGCTTCGGACGTTTTTTCCCCCCCTAACAATAAAGTTTGATTATTTATCGTAAAATACCCTTCAGGATCAAGAACTGGTCTGATCTCTTAGGCAATAGAAGCTTCCCATATATAAAGCAATCCGAGCCAACCATAAAGAGCAGATTCAAGCAACCAATAAAATTATAAGAAATTTGATACTTCTGCTGACTTTATCAACAAAAATCAAGAGCTCCAATACCTTTCAGAATCTGGACTAAAAGACGTCTTCTTATTGGTAAACAACCATGGAGAAATTTTCCCCAAATCAAAGAAACATAAAATATTGTCACAACTAAAGTGATGTTACAAGCCTAAAACACTGCATTTTCATCAGCAAGTGTAATCAGAAAGCATATAGTTTTACTCACTCAACTCTACATAAAGAAAACGAAACGCATCAATCATAGTGTGCACATGAGGGACCAGTTATCTACCATCTAGATCAGAGATTGTGACATAATTTGTGGAATAATGTTCTTGCCTGATGTTATGTAGCTCAGACTCTTCCTCAACGTCACCGATAAAGTATGCTGGCTGCTTTGGTTTGGCAAGTTGAATAGAATCATTTGACAGAAAAGAAATTACATCTAACATGGAAGGCCTGTCTTTTGCTTGATCTTGAACGCACAAGAGGCCAATATGAATTCCTCTCTGCACTTTGTTTTGCACGCTCGGTTCATCTAATCCTGAGTCCATTAGCTCTAAAACTCTACCTTCATTCCAGAGCTTCCATGCCTAAAAAAACCCCAGCATCCATCAAAAGCTTAACAGATCAGTCATTAGAATAATATATATATATATATATATATATTGGATTTAAGAAATAGCTGTTTCAGAGACTTACATATCCTATTAGATTATAAGGACGATCTAAATCAAATCCACTGTTATTCTTTTTGCCACTAAGAATCTCTATTAACAACACCCCGAAGCTGAATACGTCTATTTTGATCGAAACAATGCCATTAATTGCATACTCTGGAGCCATGTAGCCACTTAAGTAACAACAAAGCAAATGAATGTTAGAATCCCGGATCAATCAAGAGTCACATGGAAAGTGATTAAAATGAACTGTGTTCATAAACTTACCGTGTACCGACTACTCTATTGGTGTTTTCTTCAGATTCTCTTAATCCAAATATTCGAGCCGTGCCAAAATCAGATATTTTAGGATTCATTTCTTCATCGAGTAATATATTGCTTGCCTTCAAGTCACGATGTATGACCCTTAGTCTTGAATATTTGTGTAGATAAAGAAGTCCTTGGGCAATTCCTTCGATGATGCTAAATCGTTTTCCCCAATCTAGTACATTTCTTCTGCTTGCATCTGTCAGAGGGTAAAGTGCTTATTAGAAAGCTTGACACGTACGGTAAAACATTCATAATTTTGTTGAATATGAGAGACAACCTACCAAAAATGTAGAAATCCAAGCTTTTGTTAGGCATGTACTCATAAACTATAATTCTTTCATCTCTTTCAATGCAGAGCCCCAAAAGCCTCACAAGATTAGTGTGCTGCAATTTAGCCATAAGTTTAGCCTCATTTTTGAATTCTGTAAGCCCTTGTCCAGAACTTTTAGACAGCCGTTTTATTGCAACTTCCTGCCCATCTGCTAGCGTCCCCTGATAGTATTATTGTACAAAGTTTATATTGTAGTTTTAAATTTCAATTCTCTCTCCCTCACTCTACCTCACACACACACACACACATTACCTTGTACACAGGACCAAAACCGCCCTCTCCTAGCATGTTAGAATCTGAGAAATTGTTTGTGGCAACCACAATGCACTCAGAGCTGAAAATTTCAACCTCATTCCTTTCCTTCCCATTTTTCTTGTTTCTTTTGGCTTTGCCATACACCATGGAAATCAAAGCACTGCCTCCAATTTCATGTAATATCTTCTTTTGCCTGGTTTTCCTGTCCACTGGTAATGTGACATAGAAGTACAAGTCACCAAGAGGACCTTAACTCAGTGATTATTTGGATATTATTAATACTATATGGTAGTTATTACCTTCTACTCTATATTTTCTCAATGAGGCATAGCATAAGTAGCACATCAAAGGTAATACTAGGCTTCCTCCCACCGCAATAATAAGCCATATCCACCACCTGTTTACTATAGTTCACAACAATATGATTTTCAAGTCACATGTGGATATGATGGTGCCAATTTTAAATGGAGGTTACCATTTGTTTACCAAAAAAATAGGAAGGACTCATGAAAATGACAGATATGTGATGCAGCTTGCGACATTTCTTAATAGCAACTTAAAACTGACATATAATAGTATCAAGATTTGAAAGCTTCAAAAAATCACTTTTAGACATTATGAGACCAAATTACTCACATATTTACCTTATACAATGTAAAATCACTTAAAAATAAGCTAAACCAAACACCCATGTTAATGTGCTTACGGACAAGCAAAAATGTAATACTATAGCCTAGTGCAGGTTAGGAAACAGGGCATACCTTCTTGCCGAAGTCTAACAATATAAATGGACTGTCCTTTTGACCCTGCATCTTCAGTGAACCTGGTTCCTTTAAGCCATATCTGGCATCCAGTTTTGTTGATTCTATTCACTGGTGCATAAGCCTCACAAGAACAATTGTTCCGGCATATGATCTCACAACACTGCCCATTAACATTTTCTCTTTCGTAAACCTTAATACTATCAGTGGACATGTAACCAAAACGCTCTTCAAAACCATTGTCATGGCTCTCGCATTTGGGAGCACTTTGAGGTGTGCAAAGAGGACCAAGTTGAAGGTGCCTACTATATCCGCTCAATCTATCTGAGTATCTTGAGCACAACATCACACCTCCATAGTTAGGTGACTTGTTTACAATGGGAAGTACCTTAGAGTTTAACAAATCAGGAGGAACATAGCCACCTGCCTCTGTTTCCGGAGATGGTGGCAAACCCAGGAATATTTTTGACTTATTTAATGATGTTGCCCACTGGTTCCATGCATTGAAAAACGCATTAGGATTAGCTTCTGAATAGTGGCAGTGAGGATTGAGGTAGAATTTTACCCAGACATAGTCAAAAACGCCTTTATCAATGGCAGTACCAAGATGAGCATCAGGAAACCGGCATTCAGGTGCTGCTGATAAGTACACTTTCTGGCTATCAGTGCTATGTGAGTTAAGGTAAATTGCAAGGTCCTCCCAGTATTCCCCCGAGCTCTCTATGTCAAAATCAATGCCATCCAATGTGGCATCTCCAAGTGGGCGTGAAGATGAGCTTCCGCCTAAGAAATTGTTCCATAGGTAATCAGAAACATTTTGAGCATCCTTTGAGGAAGATAAAGAATAACCCGCAGATGCTCCTCCAAGAGAGAGCATTATCTTGACCCCTTGTCGTTGACAATATTTGATCTCCGTGCCAATGCTGGTGCACCCAGATGAAGACGAAGGGCCACAGTGACCTGCAATGTTGAGTTGAGGGGTATTGCCATTCCCAAACACCGTAAGGAAGCCAATTAGTACAAAAGAGTATATTCCTGCTTCACATGTTTCTCTAAGATTGCCTTCATCAGTGTTCTCACCCCAGTAAATGGCGATGTCATCGGATTTGGAGGGACAAATTTGGATGAGAAGTAGCAAAGGAAGGAGAGATAGAAAACTTTTGGCCATCTTGCCCGCCTCACTGACCTAATCTCGTATTTCGTCTCGTGTTTAAAATTTAAACCATTTGCTTCTCATTTTATGGCCACATCCATCCATGCAAGTCAACAACAGTTGCCCCTCGCCCTCGAGGACACATTTTCCTCCACTCTTCCTCCCCCCCCCCCTCTTTTTTTCCCGGTTTATGCTTAATTTTCTTCTTCCTTCGTCAATGGTCTGCCCCCAGGGAACGGCAATGTCATCGGATGTGGAAGAGGAAATTAGGATGAGAAGTAGGAAAGGAAGGAGTAGAAGGAAAAACATGGTCATCTTTCTTGGGTCACTGACCTAATCTGACATTTGCTCTTGAATCATTGGCTTCCTGTCTTATGGCCACATCCCTGTATACAAGTCAACAACGGTCGCCCCCCGCCCCTTAGGACGTGTTTTCCTCCGCTCTTCCTCCCCCCCCCCCTTTTCCCACCTTTCTTTCCCGGTTTATGCTTAATTTTCTTCTTCCTTGCAACTTTAAATCACCTACAATTCTTTCTCGTTGAATGTTTAATATTTATTGACTGTGATTACAACCTTGGTTGGTTCCCTACGAAAGCATCCAATTCGTCTGCTTGTTGCGTGCGGATCAATTATTCTGATAGTCCAGTCCTAATTCCTAAACCTTCCTATCATAATTTGGCCTTCTTCCTTCTCATATTTTGTGAATGCTGCACAATATGCCACTCCTCTTAATGCCCGTCGCCGTCCGGCAACAATCTCAGCACAGTTTGAATGGGACTACTTTTGGACTCCATCATGGTATCATCTGTTTCTTATAGATAAGCCCAAAATCGCTCATAGATAAGCCCAAAATAGTAGTATCCATTAGAATCTGATCAGATTTTTTATCCTACAAAGATTCAAAGTTTACTGCATTACATCAGTAGATAATGTTGACGTTTATAAAATAAATATAGATTTTAAAATAAAAAATTACTATACGGTCCCATTTATTGTAAGAACTAATATTTATATTTTTTTCCAAGCTAATATTTATGTTGTTAAACTAAAAATAATACAATAAAGTGATAATTACGATGACACATAAAAGATACACACACATATATATATAATACCATAAGTTTGGAGAGGAAGTGCACAACACAAAGCCTTTTGAGGTTGGATTCATAGGATTTTTTTTTTAAAAAAAAAGGACTGTCAGATTATTTAGGAAATATGCATATAAATAAGTGGGTTATTGGTAAAATATTTTAATTTCGTGGATCTCATAAAATCTGTGAATCAAATTTATTTAATTATCCTTACAATAATAAGATGGTCAGCAGTTTATACCATACCCTTGACGAAATTTCTATTGTTAACAATTTCAAGGACGATGGCAAAAGAATTTTTTCACTGAAAATAAATTATAATTAAAGTATACATTTAGTCTTTTAACTTTGTACAATGTTTTAATTTGGTCTCTTAACTTTAAAAAGTATACTTTTAGTTTTTTAACTCGAAATTTTTTTAGAAAAATGATGACATTAAGATCTTAAATGTTGATAAAATATTCTCAAATACTAACATATAAGTTTAATTTTCAAAATATTTATGATTGGTTTAAAAAATCATCATTGAACCCTAATGATTTTAAAGTTAAAGGACTAAATATATGCTTTTTAAAGTTAAGGAACCAAATTAAAACCCTGTACAAAATTAAAGAACTAAATGTATACTTTAACTATAAATTATTTAATGTGACGAATAATAACTTCACCTTGTTATTACTTCTTATCAAATTCAGATAATTGATATTTTAGTTCATTCAAAAAATATAAAAAGATGTTAAGATCCCAATGATGGAAAAAAAAAATACAATCCACTTATAAAGCCCCTTGTTTTTGGATCCTATATAGTATTATATTATTTTAGGTGCTTTAGCCGTTCTAGTTTGGTGAAGAAAACAAAGAAGGGAAAAATAAAAAAAGAGACATAATGAAAAAGGATGATGGAGGGATGTTGAGTGGGTTTTACTAGATTTTGAATCTCAAACTCCAAGAAAATGTGTAGATTTTCTCGAGAAAACTGTGGACTACGCAAATGGTGCCGAAGAAATCTGTTCTGGATGCACTATACGTTTCGGAGATACGAAGTAGTAGTATAAACGACGAGCAAGATCCAACAAAAACTTAACAGCAAAAAAGGATTTTTTGTTTCCAAACGTTTTTACCCGCACTGTTATGTAAACGATGAAGTTAATCATTAAACTATATTGTGTTAATTACGAGTTGTACTCAATCACCTTCTCTCGCCTTCTAAAAAAGGGAAAAACCAACCAAATGAAACAAAACTTTGTCTGTTCAGAAAAAAGATAAACCTGTGCAAATTGAAAAATAAACTTGGAGTTATCTTCTTCATTTTCGTGAATAAAATCGACAAATAGAAAATTGAGGCATTTATTAGAAGCAGTAATTAGTGGTTCTGGTAAAGCAGAGGAGAAGGTTAATGAGAAAGAGAAGTTGGAGAGAAGGTAGTGCTCCCTCCGTTCTTTATTATAAGAGATAAATAATCAAAATACGTTGATAAAAAAAATAGTTAAAATTAGTTAAAAACAATTAATGTGTAAAAAGTATAATTTTTTTTCCAAAAATTCCCTCGTCAATAGAGAGAGAGCATGACAGAGAACAATTAAATTATTAAAATAAAGACAAGTGGGAGGGAGAGAGAGTATGAGTTGGAGATAATAAATATGGGTAAAATAGAAAATCAACACAAAAAAGCAGAGACAACTTTTAAGTGTCTCTTATATATAGGAACATGCCATAAACATCAAATGTCTCTTGTAACAAGGAACAGATGGAGTAATAAATAACACGTCTGTGCCATCTGGGGCCTGAATAATAACGATTGAGAAGAGAAATCCAAATCGAATTCGAATTCAAATTGAAATGTGTGTGAAATTTTGGCAGTCCACCTGCATCATGATGAGTGGGCGTCTCTTGTGGCAGAAGAGAAACAGAGAAGGGAAGGGCAAGGCATTTAAGGGAAGCCATTTTCAGGAGCTTAAAAAGGCCGGTGGTGTTAACAATAAATACTAACAAGGCCAACCACCTATCCCCGCCTCTTCCTCTGCTCTACTCTTTAAATAACACCAAAGCTAATGAATGAATGAGGGAATGGTTCGAAGATTTGAGGAGAGGCCGAGGGCCAAACGCCACGGGACAATCCCACGATTGACGTATCAACCGTTTGGCATGTGACAGATGGGTCAAGTTTTGTGAGTTATTAACATGTTGGTTGGCTTGGATTTTATTTATTTATCATATACTACTTCTAATTCTAAATATAAGAGTTAGTTAAAAATTTAATTTAATTCTAAATATAAGATTTCAGTTCACTTTGTTTTTCATGTTTATTCTCTTTTTTAGAGTAATTCTCGTAATGATCACACGTTTTAAAATGTTTTCATTCTCATATGCATAATTAATAAAGATATTTTTAAAAAAATAACATTCATTTATTACAAATAATTAACTCAACTGATTTTTTTTTAATATATTCGCATATTTAGTTATCTAACTCTTATATTAAGGTAGTATATGCTTTAATAACTCAGTTATGTGGCATCGTAAGGGTGTTATGTATGATTAATGTGGTTATTAATTACTTAAATATTAATTTTTTTCAATAGTTATATTATGAACATATTTATATATTTAAGTTAAATTGTGCTACATTAATTATGATTAAGTTGATTCCAGTTCAAGATTGACATTGGAATCACCTCGTCAACTAATTAGTTTAATTTCCAATATCATGACTAATTTAAATTTAAGTGTTGTTAAAATCAAATAGAATGACGCTTCGAACGTGTCCCCCCCCCCCCCAAAAAAAAAACAATAAAGTTTGATTATTTATCGTAAAATACCCTTCAGGATCAAGAACTGGTCTGATCTTAGGCAATAGAAGCTTCCTACAAAGCAATCCGAGCCAACCATAAAGAGCAGATTCAAGCAACCAATAAAATTGTAAGAAATCTGATACTTCTGCTGACTTTATTAACAAAAATCAAGAGCTTCAATACCATTCAGAATCTGGACTAAAAGACGTCTTCTTATTGGTAAACAACCATGGAGAAATTTTCCCCAAATGAAAGAAACATAAAAAATTCTCACAACTAAAGTGATGTTACAAGCCTAAAACACTCCATTTTCATCAGCAAGTAATCAGAAAGCATAAATCGATCTCTAAATAGAGAAAATGAAATGCACCAATCATAGTGTGTACATAAGGGACCAGTTATCTACCATCTAGATCAGAGATTGTGACATAATTTGTGGAATAATGTTCTTGCCTGATGTTATGTAGCTCAGACTCTTCCTCGACGTCACCGATAAAGTATGCTGGCTGCTTTGGTTTAGCAAGTTGAATAGAATCATTTGACAGAAAAGAAATTACATCTAACATGGAAGGCCTGTCTTTTGCTTGATCTTGAACGCACAAGAGGCCAATATGAATTCCTCTCTGCACTTTGTTTTGCACGCTCGGTTCATCTAATCCTGAGTCCATTAGCTCTAAAACTCTACCTTCATTCCAGAGCTTCCATGCCTAAAATAAACCCCAGCATTCATCAAAAGATTAACAGATCAGTCATTAGAATAATATATATGTGTGTGTATATTGGATTTAAGAAATAGCTGTTTCAGAAACTTACATATCCTATTAGATTATGAGGACGATCTAAATCAAATCGACTGTTATTCTTTTTGCCGCTAAGAATCTCTATTAGCAACACCCCAAAGCTGAATATGTCTGTTTTGATTGAAACAATGCCATTAATTGCATACTCTGGAGCCATGTAGCCACTTAAGTAACAACAAAGCAAATGAATGTTAGAATCCCGAATCAATCAAGAGTCACATGGAAAGTGATTAAAATGAACTGTGTTCATAAACTTACCGTGTACCGACTACTCTATTTGTGTTTTCTTCAGATTCTCTTAATCCAAATATTCGAGCCGTGCCAAAATCAGATATTTTAGGATTCATTTCTTCATCGAGTAATATATTGCTTGCCTTCAAGTCACGATGTATGACTCTTAGTCTTGAATATTTGTGTAGATAAAGAAGTCCTTGGGCAATTCCTTCGATGATGCTAAATCGTTTTTCCCAATCTAGTACATTTCTTCTGCTTGCATCTGTTAGGGGGTAAAGTGCTTATTAGAAAGCTTGACACGTACGGTAAAACATTCATAATTTTGTTGAATATGAGAGACAACCTACCAAAAATGTAGAAATCCAAGCTTTTGTTAGGCAAGTACTCATAAACTATAATTCTTTCATCTCTTTCGATGCAGAGCCCCAAAAGCCTCACAAGGTTAGTGTGCTGCAGTTTAGCCATAAGTTTAGCCTCATTTTTGAATTCTGTAACTCCTTGTCCAGAACTTTTAGATAGTCGTTTTATTGCAACTTCCTGCCCATCGATTAGTGTCCCCTGATAGTATTATTGCACAAAGTTCATATCCATTTAGTTTCAAATTTCAATTCTCTCTCTCTCTCTCACTCTACCTCTCTTACACACACATTACCTTATATACATGACCAAAACCGCCCTCTCCTAGCTTGTTGGAATCTGAGAAATTGTTTGTGGCAACCACGATGCACTCAAAACTGAAAATTTCAACCTCATTCCTTTCCATCCCATGTTTCTTGTTTCTTTTGGCTTTGCCGTACACCATGGAAATCATTGCATTGCCTCCAATTTCATGTAATATCTTCTTTTGCTTGGTTTTCCTGTCCACTGGTAATGTGGCATAGAAGTACAAGTCAACAAGAAGACCTTAACTCAGTGATTATTTGGATATTATTAATACTCTATGGTAGTTATTACCTTCTGCTTTGTATTTTCTCAATGAGGCATAGCATAAGTAGCACATCAGAGGTAATACTAGGCTTGCTCCCACCGCAATGATAAGCCATACCCACCACCTGTTTACTACAGTTCACAACAATATGATTTTCAAGTCACATGTGGATATGATAGTGCCAATTTTAAATGGAGGTTACCATTTGTTTACCAAAAAAAATAGGAAGGATATGGCAAATTAAAACTGACATATAATCCAAAGCTTCAAAAAATCACCTTTAGATTTTATGAGACAAAATTACTCACATATTTAACTTGTACGCCGTAAAATCATTTAAAAATAAGCTAAACCAAACACCCATGTCAATGTGCATTGCAGAACAAGCAAAAATATAATATTATAGCCTAGCGCAGGTTAGGAAACAGGGCATACCTTCTTGCCTAAGTCTAACAACATAGATTGACTGTCCTTGTGACCCTGCATCTTCAGTGAACCTGGTTCCTTTAAGCCATATCTGGCATCCAGTTTTGTTAATTCTATTCACTGGTGCATAAGCCTCACAAGAACAATTGTTCCAGCATATGGTCTCACAACACTGCCGACTAATATTCTCTCTTTCGTAAACCTCAATACTATCAGTGGACATGTAACCAAAACGCTCTTCAAAACCATTGTCATGGCTCCTGCATTTGGGAGCACTTTGAGGTGTGCAAAGAGGACCAAGTTGAAGGTGCTTACTATATCCGTTCAATCTATCTGAGTACCTCGAGCACAACATCACACCTCCATAGTTAGGTGACTTCTTTACAGTGGGAAGTACCTTAGAGTTTAACAAATCAGGAGGAACATAGCCACCTGCCTCTGCTTCCGGAGATGCTGGCAAACCCAGGAATATTTTTGACCCATTTAGTGATGTCGCCCACTGGTTCCATGCATTGAAAAACGCATTGGTATTAGCTTCTGAGTAGTGGCAGGGAGAATTGTCATAGAATTTTACCCAGACATAGTCAAAAACGCCTTTATCAATGGCAGTGCCAAGATGAGCATCAGGAAATAGGCATTGAGGTGCTGCAGATAAGTACACTTTCTGGCTATCAGTGCCATGTGAGTTGAGGTAAATTGCAAGGTCCTCCCAGTATTCCCCCGAATTCTCTATGTCAAAATCAATGCCATCCAATGTGGCATCTCCAAGTGGACGTGAAGATGAGCTTCCGCCTAAGAAATTGTTCCATAGGTAATCAGAAACATTTTGAGCATCCTTTGAGGAAGATAAAGAATAACCCGCAGATCCTCCTCCAAGAGAGAGCATTACCTTGACCCCTTGCCGTTGACAATATTTGATCTCCGTGCCAATGCTGGTGCACCCAGATGATGAAGAAGGGTCACAGTGACCTGCGAGGTTGAGTTGAGGGGTTTTGCCATTCCCAAACACCGTAAGGAAGCCAATCAGTACAAAAGAGTATATTCCTACTGCACATGTTTCTCTAAGATTGCCTTCATCAGCGTTCTGACCCCAGTAAACGGCGATGCCATCGGATTTGGAGGAGCAAATTTGGATGAGAAGCAGCAAAGGAAGGAGAGATGTAAAACTTTTGGCCATCTTGCTCGCCTCACTGACCTATCTCGTATTACCTCTTGTGTTTAAAATTTAAATCATTCGCTTCTCGTTTTATGGCCACATCCATCCATGCAAGTCAACAACTGTTGCTCCCCACGAACGCGTTTTACTATTCCCCTGGGCTTGATTTTCTGCCTTCTTACATCTTTTTACTGTGATTATGACCTTGGTTGGTTCCATGCAAGAGCATTTTAATTCGACTTGTTGTTGCGGGTCAATAACTTTGTTCCCTCATCCCTATTACCACCTCAGCACTCGCCATACATAATATACCTCTTCCTTAAGTAGCTAGCAATATCTAACACCAGTGTGCAAAAACCCAATAATGGAACGGAACTTAACAAGGTTTAAAGAATGATACGACTCATTGTTTAAATTCAATACGCCTTTGGGCAATAACTGAACATGCTTGTAAGAATAATGTTTAAGAAATTGTTGCCGCAAACAATACCTAGAAGTTAGTTAACGCTTAGTGTGTACAATATGAACATCATTTAAAATTGTTAGTCTATAATTTATATTTTATATATTCAAGTACAAGATGTCTTTTTTTTTTTTTTTACCAGAAAAGCACAAGATGTCTAAGTAATCTTTTTTATTACAGTTTAGCATAGTTTGACTTGTACTACTTTCAACACAACCAAAAAAAAGAAAGAGGAAAGATTAGTGCTGCTTTCGGACATTATGATGTGTTTCTTATAAATAAGACGAAAGTAGTAATAGCCAGTAGAATCTGGTCAGCCTTTTTAATCCCATAATAAGTCGACGTTTACCCTATTACGCCAGTAGATAACGTTGCTGTATTCAAACAAATTTAAATTTTAAAATAGGAAAAATTATTATACAGTCCCACGTAAAACAATTTGATTACTAAAACTATGATAACAAGAAAGTAGAATGCTTATTTGTTGTAGAATTTTTAGTGATTAAACTGTTTGTGTGGAATTGGAAAAAGCTTTTCTCTTTAAAATGTCTGATCTTAACGATTTAAATTTGATTTTTTTATTTTTAAAATAATATATGAAAGAAAAATAGTTTTAACATTTTTTTAAATTAAGTACTGAGACAAATTTTAAATCATTCAAATAATATTCAAGGCAGGCCAGCCAACCTCGTTCCCGTTGCAAATGCCCTTTTCTCAGACTGAGGCATTTCTTTCCACATTCCCTTTAATCAACCGGCCTTAGTTATTCTCAATTACATTATGAAAACGGATCGAATGGATTATGAACCATGTGAAGCTCATGCCGTTGGTTGTTCTACCAAACATTGGGGAAAATTCTAAAGGCACACGGACAGCTGCTTTGTCCGGAAGTTTTACCAAAGTCAGCTTTTCACACTGTCTCGGAAATTTTAGTCCTTATGAAGCAGAGGAGCGGGCTATGTTCAAGGGATGGGACTCGGAGACATTCCAATGAAATCTGATAGCAATGATCTTATTCACACAGTACTACACGAGCAAAACTTGAAGACAATCCGAATGCAACATGGTCTCACTAACTACTAATATGCTAGACATAGCTCCTCAACACATGAGGGCCATGATTCACAAACAAGCTATGAAATTACAACCCCCAATGATAAGACATAGTACTAATAGCTAATTGTTGATGCAGGTCATTCAATCTAGTTATAATTAAGGTATCGAAATGCTAGCTCAATTCAGGACAAATCACATATCCCGATCAAATGATAGAACCCCTCCCGTCAGTTTCATCATATGTATCCCTACCCAATCAACAAGAAAGTCGAATCGATACAAATAATGCCCAACTAAATACAAAAGAATTTTAATATTAAAACAAAATTGCACAAGCCATAACTATTCATAGTAGTGTTTCCTAACATGAAAAGTATTATTCCAATTATGCATTAGAGATTACTGCGTAAGTATCAGCTACAAGATGTGAAAGATGGCTCAAATTTCCACTGCATACGGTGACCCATTTAATATGCTGAATATTGGTTGGCAAATAGTATGGCCGCAGATATCAAAATGACCTCAGAAGAACCGAAGGCTACTCAGACAATTCATTATTGCAGTCCTGGCTCGTCGTTCTCTTCCTTTTCAGGATTTTCCTCTTCCTCTTCCTCCTCTTTTTTTTCTTCTTCTTCTTCTTCATCCTCTTCTGGAGGATCTGCAGGCAATGGTGGTGGTAAAGGTGTCTTCATTGGGCTAAACTGAGGAAATATATCTGGTCTTCGTCCTGGTTTAGGCCTTTCCCATTCCTATCAGTAGATAAATCCATCAACCAATCAGCTCATGTAACAAGCTGCCACAAATTGGAAAGAGCAGAAGAGCAGATAATTCACAAAACCTAATTCTATTCTCACTCTTGAATTTAACAGTTTTACTGACCAGTTTAAGGGAGCCAGATTATGGAAAAAAACGCAAAGAAATTTCCAAGAAGAGTATCCTGGACAACTGTCTTCTACAAGCTAAGTTTTCTTCTATATACCATGGAACAACAAATAATTCCCTACCAAGGGAGAAATAGTTATGCTTCATGTGAAACAACATTCTTTGTTTCTTGTCGCTGCAAAATGTATACAAGGAAATAATAGCTTCCATCAAGGTAAATTGTCACCTAAAGAATACAAATGAAGTCCAAATGTTCAAAATTAAACACTACAGAGGAAAACATTCACCAACAGAGCGTCCCAACCACACAACATATAAATCATTCAGGCTTCTCGGAGAACCCACAATATTCAGCTTCACTGTGAGAAATAATGAAAAGAAATACACTAACTCATCCTCGTGTAAGCTCCAATTTTTATAAGAGCATGAATTTTCATTTCTCTGGCATCATTCACGAGGGTAAAGTGCAACACTCATAAAAACTTGATTTAATTACTTCATCCAAATTCACCTGAGATTGATGACACTAACCAAACCAAAACTTCATAGAGTTAAGACTTTCCTACTACTGAGATCATAATACTTCACTAGCGCACTATAAGTCGTTATAAGCTTCCATATCAAGAATTTTTTTCACTCTAGTGAGAGGACTCTAAGTAGCTAACAGAAATTGGGACACGTCTTATGTCCAATCCAACATACTGATCTTCATAAGATCTGAATACGTTCAAAAATTTGTAATACCAGTCATCATAGAATTAAACAGGAAAACTTTACAAGATAACAAAAACTGCAGTCCAGTTTAGGCCCAAGTATCACTGAAAGCTGTTGGAGAAAGAAACCGCAAGAATTAACCCCGACCAGCAGCCAACAAAAGAAAGAAAATAAATTCAAGCCATGTATTTCAGGTTTTTCACGACAATCATCCCAAACTCAAAGTAAAGATTTCTCGTTTAAGCCTGCAACTCGTGAACTCTAATCTTGTCGCCCAAAATTATATTCCTAACATCAAATTTTATCAAAGGACAATTACAGTATAACATCTTCTGTCTTGACAAGTAAAAATGCCAGAAGACAGGAGGTATCAATCATATGAAAAGAACAGTTAACCGCAACTAAAACAAATCACAGCCATAATAATTACTCACTCACAATACCATTTTCCAATCAATTAGCAAACAGTCAAGCAAAAGGGAAATTAATTCAAACAAAAGAACAAACACAATTCTACGGCGCAACAGACTTTCAGGAAGTAACCAAAAGCAAGAAAAACCTAGAAAACAGGCTTACAATTGGAAAATCGAGAGGGGAACGACGAGTCATCTTCTCCTCCTCCGGAGCCATACGAACGATATGCCTCTCTAACCGACGGGAAGGGAGTACAAGTGTTGCGGGAAGGGGGCGCCGAGAAGGAACGAATGAGAAAGACGAACAGATAAAAGGTCGACGAGGGAGAATCAAGAAGGAGGATTTGGGAGAAGAATACGATGTAGAAAAGAGAGATGAAGAAGGAGGAAAAAGCGACGGAGCAGGGGCTGAAGTAGACGGTAAAGCAGCGGTGAGGCTGAGCAGCTCCATGGATGCGGCTGACAGTGGCTCTGCTTCTGCTCTCTCGCTGAGGAACACAAATCCTTTGTCTGTTATTTTGACGGATTCACCATAATGGCGTTCACTTACCGTCGTCTTTGATTCCACCAAGCCGCCAGTCGGTTTAGCCTTTTTTTTTTTTTTGGGAAAATAACTAAGTCGGTTAAACTCAAGCCGGCCTACAAATTGCCTGACGGAACACAAGTCGTTTAAGTGGGCTCAGTTTTCATTTCCCAGAACAGTAGGAGCATGGGCTCTCTCTCAGGCCTGCCCATCGCAATAGTGTCATATTAGGAAAAACCAATATCCTTCCGGCTTTTTATGGGGAAAAACAAAAAATCATAAAAATTGCAAAATTCTAAATCAGGTATTTTCACCAAAAAAAAATGTTGTTGCTTGTAAATCAATTGTTATTCAAACCAGTTAAAGTGTTGTAATGAATCTTGACTTGAAATTTTACACTTTTCACAGTCATTATTTGTTATTCTCCTTTTTTCACCTAGTTCATATAGTTTTACTAAATTTTTATTAAGTTTTTCTGAATTTTCTTCTTTTATCAATCATATAAAATTATAAATACCTAGTGAAAAATATGGGAAATTATAAAAATCTCATGAGAAGAAAACAAACTATAAGAATCTAATTAAGTAAAACTATAAGAACCTGCATATTAATTTACCGAAATAGGGGTCATCTTATCCTTAGAGCGATTAATGATGTGAACCGTGATCACCCCCCCCCCCCACAAGGGCCAGCTAGCAATGGTTTAATCATTCATGTTCAACATGGGAATCCAAAACTATCATTGAGCAATCAAGTAATTGGAGGCACAAAAACACATATGGGGAGGTAGCGAAAAGAATGAGAGGACTTGTTCGTTTGTCGTTTAAACCCATTTTTATTCACGGACGAGATTTAAAAACATATATCACCAAGAAATAGGGCCTTAATTACGTGAATGACTGGGAAACCTGTACAAGGTTAGCGCAGTCTCAAAGATAGTAGTTCATATTCATGCTGGTCCAAAGATGACATCAATCAAAGGACCCACACAAGTGTTTTGGTTTGAGTAATCGATTCTGCAACATCATCCATCACTTTATTGAAATCATGTTTGGCCAAAGCTATTTCGAATAGCTTATAAGTAGCTTTTTAATCGTGATTTGTGGAGATAAATATGTTAGAAGAATTTTATCTCCATCTACATAAAACGTGCTTATAAATATTTTTAAATGATATTCCAAACAAGACTTTATACTACGTTCGCTTATTTATTTTAACTTTAATCACCCAAAGCATCCAAAGGAGATGGCTTAAGGGCTAAATACTTACAAGCACATTAACGTAAATTAGACAAAATTTTCTCACATATTTTTTTTTTTTGTATTATCTAAATTGTGGTTAAAAAGTTGTTTTTGAAAAACCATACCACCATTCTGAATGAGCACTACGTCTTTAAACATGAAAGGCACAATCAGCCCCTGGTCTCCAAAACAATAACGCCTGGAGTAGTTGACAATGCCTCTTTTATAATTGACCAACATTGAAACAAAGTGACTCATACTCAATCGACAATAAAATAGAAGAGCAAAACAGGACTAGGAACAATAAAACCAGAACCACTATACAAAGCCTTGAAGCATAACCCCAAATTGGTTTCTAGACAACGTTGACATTGCAATTTGCAAGCTTGAAGGACGAAGTTGAAGAAAATGGCAGTTTGCATCCTTCCTACCTGGAATGTTATGAAGCATGAACGAACTGTCGTGGCTTGAAAGCGTAACGCGGAACAAAACAAACTGTAAGAAGCCTGGAAGAACAGATAATCAAGCCAAGCAATTAATGACAAATAATTAAACTCAAAACATACTTACAAACCAGGAAAAACACAGCCAAATTAAAAAGATATTGCTGTGCATGAATAAATAAATAAATAAATAAAAAGAGCATAAATTATACTTCCTCATCTTCTTAAAATAAAAACTAGATAACTAATTTGTAAATATTAAGAAAATTAATTAAGTTAATTAATTGTAATAACTAAGTGTTGTTTCTAAAATACTTTTATTAACCATATATATTAGAATGGAAATTATTTAATATGTGCAATCAACATGCTGACTATTTTAGGAAAAAATAAATAAATATAAGAGATAAAAATATATTAAGATATTATATTTGGAACTCAATTAAATCTTTGACTAACTCTTATATTTAAAACAAGAGGTAGTATTATATTATATCAGTTAATTAATTTGAAGAGATTACAAAATTAAAAAAAAACTTAATTACAACATATGTTACATGATCCTCTAAAATACTTTAAATCAGATAAACTAGTGATTAAATCAGATAAATTAATTTGGAGAAAAAATAAATACTTTAAAATAATTTATTTAAATTTCTTAATTTGGGTCAAAAAAAATTTGAGTAAGTTAAATCTCGAGAGCTTATGAGTCAGAATATGCCTTCATACTTAAAGAGCATTTAGAAGGGTGTTTTCATATCACCTACTAACAAAACTTTTATATTGATAATAAGATTCAAACTTACGATATTTTTTTTTTTTTGACCGAAAACTTACGATATTATAACTTACAAACTTGTCTCTTTTAAATTAGTTATGCAGCCGTTTTACATATTAACACACAATGTACCGTGTGCGCGCGGGAGGGAGAGGGAGAGTGCGATGCACGGAATTTGGCGATGGGGATCAAACAGTAACCTTGGTTGGAGGTTCAGGCAAATGGATGGAGGTGATGTCAGATTTTTGCCTGACAACACTGCAATTTGCAGCCTTCCCTGATCAAAAGCCACGCCCTCCCCAATCATTTCCCAAACCCCAAGATCTGAATTTCAGATCAAACAAAACCCCCACAAATTAATTCCTTTTCTATTTTATGCCCAAAAAAAAACCTATTTTCCAATGTCCCCAGCCGAATCACAATTTTATTTTTCAATTTTTAATATTCAAGTTGGTAACCACTAGACTGAACGCACCCATGAGCCCATGAATCACCAGCCTACACCAGTAAGCCAACTTATTGGTCCACGTGTCCCACTCGCATTGCTCCTCATGAAAGGAACGTTGGCATTTTGCGCTTTTTCTCGCTCCTCTCCCCCCCAACAAAAAAATATAAGCTCTCGCTGGCCCCTGCTTCCGCCTATTATCAACAAACCGATATCTGGGTTCTCTTATCTGTTCTCTGTTTTCTCTGTCTCGGGAAAAAAGGGTTGGTGAAAAGTATCCAAGGCTACAAAATAAAAGGGCTTGCCATTTTTGATCGTCTCAGGGAACAATATAAACGATTCGAGTTGCAACCAAGAACGTGGGAGGAAAATCGCCCCTTTAGATTGTTTTCTTTTAAGATTTGCAGAGCAGAGAAGAAGAACCCAGAGAGAAAATCAAGTAAGTAACTTTTTCGAGGATTTGTAAAGCAATTTGATCCGTGCAAGCAACAGCAAGAAAAAAGAGTTTTAACTTTTGGGGTCTTTTGTGCTCGCACGATAAGTTGGTCAATCGGTTCTTCAGAGTTGGTTGGGGTATTTTGATTAATGAGAAAGAGAAGATAATGGATTTCTGGCCAGAATTTCTTGCGAGCAGCTGGGGCAGAGAGTTCGTCGCCGGAGGATTTGGAGGCATTGCCGGGATATTCTCCGGCTACCCCCTCGACACCCTCCGCATCCGTCAGCAGAGCTCCAACAAAGGCTCTGCTTTCAGCATTCTCAGACATGTGGTGGCCAAGGAAGGACCATTTGCTCTGTACAGAGGCATGGCTGCTCCTTTAGCCTCTGTCACTTTCCAGGTCCATTCTACTTTCATCTCTTCCCTCCATTGTTTTTTCTTTTGTGTTTAATCCTAAATGTTAGATGCAGATTCAACTAAGAAATTAGTTCGCTCAGGTAAGAAATAAGAAAATTCTTTGGTTGTGGGACCATAAGTCCAGAACCTTATCACCATGAATGATACTTCATATAACTGATCATCCAGAACCTACCAATTTCTCAAATGATTTTGAAGTTTGATTGGGTATTAAGCTTTGTTCTGATGGATTCATTTGAAGGAACTTGATAGCTGGTATCGTGTTAAAGCGATACCAGTGGGCCAACGTGTCGTACCTCCAGGAATAAACTAGGTTGATTCCTTTTAAAAAGCAACTTTCCCAGTTTTTGTTTTTCATGATGAGATCAATGAATCTTCTTCTTTCTGAGCTGGTGGCGAACTTCAGGATAAGGTTTCCCTGATTTCATACCCCTTTTTAGAATTCTAGCATTAAATATTATTTAGATCAGATTTTTGTTTTGTTTACTCAATGTTTTAGTGTGGGGTACGTCTTCTTAAATAACTTGGATAGGAATCAAACGTGGCTACTAAACAAAAATAGTCAAATAGGGAGGGCCAAGAGCCCAAAACAAGAGTATTACGAGTTTTTTTTTTTCCTTTTACGGACGAACACAACAATGAAAATGTGCAATTTTGATATCCTGCAATACTGGGACGCGAGAATCGTCTCTGAATTGAAATCTTTTTTTAAATTTAAGGGTCAAATCAGGATGATGCTTGTTGATACCAATTTGTTGAACCACCCACTTGTGGATTATTGAGGGCCAGCGTGTGGTGTTTGGGTTTTTTTAAACATGAAGCCCAGGGCACGAGATGGGACTAACTAACTTCACCTTTAAGCCATGTGGGGTGCCTTAGCCTTAGGGCCACATGTCCTATACACAAGGCCATAGGTTATTTAGGGTCTCAGAAAGGGGTAAAAAATTTTTATCTTTGTTTGAAATTTTGAAAGTTTGAGTACTTTATGATGGTGACTATTTCTAGCTTTTATTGTTGCAGAATGCCATGGTATTTCAAATCTACGCAGTTTTCTCAAGAGCATGTGACACATCAGTGTCAGCCACCGACCCTCCGTCGTACAAGGGCGTGGCTCTCGGAGGATTCACCACCGGAGCCGTACAGAGTCTCCTCCTTTCACCAGTAGAACTGGTCAAGATTCGCCTTCAGCTCCAAAACACAGGCAAAGTGACAGAATCTCACAAAGGTCCCTCACAAGTAGCCAAGACCATATGGAAGAAAGAGGGTCTGAAGGGAATTTACAGAGGTCTGGGCATCACTGTGCTCAGAGACGCCCCTTCCCATGGCTTCTACTTCTGGACCTACGAGTACATGAGAGAACAACTCCACCCAGGTTGCAGAAAAAGTGGCCAAGAAAGCTTGAACACCATGTTAATGGCAGGAGGTCTAGCTGGAGTAGCGAGCTGGGTTTGTTGCTATCCTTTGGATGTTATAAAGACGAGACTTCAAGCTCAAACCCCATCTTCAGTGAAGTACAGAGGCATTTTTGATTGTCTCAGAAAGAGTGTGAAAGAAGAAGGGTCCACTGTGTTATGGCGAGGTTTAGGAACTGCGGTTACAAGAGCATTTGTGGTGAATGGAGCTATATTCTCTGCTTATGAGATTGCTCTGAGGTGTTTGTTTAGCAATGGAACTATTCAAATGGAAGAAGCTATTTGAAGAAGAGAAAGGAAGCGATTATAGGGTCAATATGGGAAGTTGACAGAATATACAACATATCAGTACGTGGTATTCTGAATCTGATAAACATTCAAGTTTCGATTTGATATTATATTTCACAGTCATGACTTGATGTAATTGCCAAATATATCAATATTTCTATATCAAGCAAATAAAGATGGAAAATTTTTCAGTCTTTTTTTTTTCCACATTCCTTTTAGAGCATTCAGAAGCACATAGTATTCATCAGTTGCTTTTCTTGATCTTGCTTCTCAAGTTTCTCTGTTTCTGTAGTGGCCATTAATGAAACCATAGGAAGGCCTTCTAGTACAATACAAGCATATACAAGAGAAACATGCACAATAAACCCATAAGCTTGAAACAAGACAATAAGAAATATAAAAAGAATGGAAAAGAGAATAGATGATTTTGTGATTCTTAGCAAGAGGAATAAGGATGAATCTGGTTCGTTGGGGAAAAAAAAAAAATTTCATCACAACGCAATGCAGATGCTGGTAAAAGCAACAAACTTTGGCTTTGAGCCTTTGAGCCTAGTCTGCTTTTGAAAGAAAAAGTCATTTACTAATAATAAACATAACTTAAAGCTAATGTTGAGTTTTACTTGCTATTTAAAGTCAAATACTGTAACTAAATCTAGCAACAATTATTAGTTCTTCGTAACGTAGCAAATTAATATAAAAACAGGACTTAGCATAACTAAGAGCCATTCCATTTATAGTGAGACGGGGAAAATGAACCGGAAAAAGAAGAATTAAAAACTATAGAGAGAGTTATGAAGTCCGCACCCCATACTGTTAAGATAAGAAATAAAAAAAAATTAATTTGCTGGTCCTCATAATTTTATAAAATTTTGAATTGGGTCTTTATAATTTTTTTTATTCCATCCTTAAAGTTTATTTCGTTAGTGGTGTTGGTCCTTCTGTCAAATGAACTTGCAAGCGCCGTTAATTTGAGTTAACAAGGAAGAAGTGGCCCGAATAAAATCTAATTAAGCACCCTCGCCTGATCTTCGTCTGCCTTCCCGCCCACAATGCCAATGGGTCATGTGCTGCGGTTCAGTTTCGGGGCCAATTGATTTCAGAAAGTCTCTTACAGGGCCACTCACTATCCTGTTTTCTGCTTCAAAAAACAGAGTAACCTTTTGGGAAGCATTTGTTCAGTTGCAGAAGACAAGCCTATCTTACGTGTGAATGCCATATTTACTAACTTGACCCCTTAAAAACTGGAGTTCTCAAGAGTTACTCTATCATGATTTTTAAGATTATTTCTGCAGTTGCTTTTCCATTACAATTTTACTATATATTCATTCATTCATGATAGCCAAGAAGCTTGTGCGTGTATAATGTACAACCCCCATCCTGAGATATACATAAAAAGTGAACGACACATAAGTACCCATTTTTCATCTTCCTCTGCTTCTCCACAGAGTTCCAGGAACAAACTATTGTGAGTTTCCAAAAGATCATATATATAAATCAAACGCAGAGGCAGAGCGTTTTTTTTTTTTTTTTGGCACTGAGGAAGGGTATATGTTGAACTCAATGTGTGTATTTAGAGATTTGGAGTCATTAAGGAGTGAGAAACGGCTTTGGGATGAAGCAAGTTAGTGTGGGCTTATGTCAATGAACCTGGTTGCAAATAAAGAAGGAAAAGCGCAAAGATGTGGGTCATTAGCTTTCGTTTTTCGAGTGTTAAATTGTTCAAAATGAAGACTTTGTGAAATTGACTAGGTTAAAAGGCCTGAGTTCTAACTGTGGCGAATTCTGCTATGTCAATGAGTTCTAGCAGTTCCATTGCTTTGAACTGGCCTGCAAAACACACCCTGTCGGCTTCGCATGTGTTTTTAGTCAGATTTTATTCAAGCCACTTCATCCCCCTTAACTCATATTAACAGTGTTTGCAAGTTGATTTCACAGAAGTACCAACACCCCTAATTGAATAAACATTAAGGATGAAATAAAAAAGAAAAAATTATAAAGACCTGATTCAAAATTTGGTGAAAATATGAATACTAATAGACTAATTTTTTCCAATAAAAAATTAGGAACTAAAGAAGGGTTAATGTGTAAATTTGTTCCTCATCATATTTCTCATGTACAAATTTATCCCAATTTTTTTAATGGTGTAATTTTACCTCTTATTATTTTTTTGGCACTCCCAAAGACCAGGGATATAGTCACATAAAAAAAATTACGGATAAAACTGTACTCAAAAAAAGATTGGCGACAAAATTGCATCACTAAAAATAGGGGACATAAATTTGCACCTACGAAATAGGATCGAAGCAAATTTGCACTTTAGCCCATTAAGGAAAGAAATTTAAAAGTTTTAAAGCCGCTTATGAATTAACGAAAAAGGCTAATAACTTTTAATATATGAAGTAAAAATTTTTAACGAAAATAATTTTCATATGTGTAATAGGTTTTAATTTAATATGTTTAATTCTTACTAGGAGTAAAAAAAAGATAATTAAAGAAAGAAGATTAAAAGCTTTTAACCACGTGAAATTAAAAAAATATTCGAAGCGCTGATAAAAAAAAAATTCTAGGCTAGTAATGAAAATTTCATATGATTAGATAAATAAGAGATGTTAATTTCTAGTCAGATTACAATTTAAATGAAAATTTTATATCATTAACGGTTAGCTGGCATTTCGTTTCAATATATCCGATCCCAAGATCTGTAAATTATCGGTTATAAAACTAATTTAATTCAGCCATTATATAAAAGGTAAAAATCGCGTCATATCTTTCTTTTGTTCTCCACGTTTAACTTCATATACATAATTGATATAAATAATATTTATTTCCTTATAAAATATTAATCAATATTATTTTTTTACTGACATATATATGAAAAGGGCCAGAAAAGATATACGGGATAAGAAATAGTTAAGATTTGATCTAATATCTAGGATTATGGCCCATTAAGAATTTGAACAAAGACCAGAGAACAAGGGTTATTTATCTTTAATATTCTGCAATATCTTTGTTACCTCTTGGTTCTTGAATGAATTGAACCTATCCGTTCGACTTCGATCCCCTCCTTTCCCGTTTTGTGTGCAGCACCATATATCAGGTCAGTCTCTCTTTCTCGTCCGGCGACTCTCTTCTCTTCCCGTTTAATGGCATCATTTTGTTTCTTTTCCTTTTCTACTGATTCTATACAAGATGAACTTCTTGTCATTATCTGGATTGAATATTCCCTGTCAGTGTTATGGGTGGATTGACAGATAAATTACTTTATGTGTTACATTTAGTTTATCTCTTTCACCATGCGGCTAATCAATTTTATATACTTGAATTGTACTACATATAATGAATTAATTACTTGATCCTAAAATGCTGCTTGATACAAATCATTGAGAATCAGGGACAAGAATTATCATTGCAATTGAAAAAAAATTATTAAAAAAGTCTTTAACATGAGTAATTACTCGTTATATGGGATTATGCAAACTCATGAAGGTAGAATTGGGGAATACCACTTTCCCTTATGGTATTCGTCAATCTCAGACCTATGTATTTGTTTAATTCTACGTAACAAGCAATCTCTCATGTTAAATATCTTTTTAATAGATTTTCTTAATTCCAATCTCAATCCCAATCCATATCCTTCATTTTCAATATTTCATAACAAACATTACCTAAGTTCTCATTGCACGTCTCATCGTAGGCTTATATACCAGATCTCAGAAAGATCTAAATAAAGAAGAACGAAGTCTAGAGATAATATTTTCTTAACTGAATAACTTGGAGAGATTCAAAGTGCCGTATTTTATGGTATTTAATTTATACTAACGCCGTGATTCATGGTATGGTGCCTTGCTTTGTTGTTTATTCTTTATGCACCATATGTGTGTGTGTGTGTGTGTGAGTGTGTCCATATATACATATATATATATAGTAAATTCCTTAATTATCTTCTAACATTTGTGTAGTCAGATGATAATTACCTTCCCTTTATCTGTAATTAGAAACCCAAGCAACTTTAATATCGTTAGCTTTTCACAATGATGATATATGGATTTTTCAACCTTTCCCCAGAATAACTGATCAAATTGCTTTTTTTTTTTAAGGGAAAAAAGACTATGGAGTCACATCTTCTTGACGATTCACGCATATATGAGTGTAAAATCCATTCATGGGGCGAAGCTCCTTATTATATCAAGTTCGATTTTTTAGATGGGAATCCAGCACTTCCTCCCTCTGGTAGATGCTTCAATATCAGAACTTTTTTAGAAGAACGCTATTACAGCCATGCTTCAAACATGCATCTTACTAGTGCAGCACATACCCATGCTGCTAGATATGATTTTTTCAACATCTCAATCAAGTCAATAAAGCAAGCCACAAATTACATTCTTTCTATTCTTAATGTTCCTGAAAAAAATCAGAAATCTATGGCACAACAGATTTTAAATTTCGTAGAAAACATGGCAAACAACACACACCCAAGTTTTCGTATGATGTTTATGATTGTGATGGTGAATGCTGACATTTTTTACCACAACAATGACAACTGCGATCAAGCTACAGAAATATCTATGAAAGATCAGCTTTGCTTGGCAAAGCTTGCAAGTGAAGCATCCAACAATAAATTGAAGGGAGTGAAGCTTCAACAAGAAGAAGGGTTGGATGCTTGTCCAATTTGTTTAGAAGATTTCAGGATTGATGCAGTTCAAATGCCTTGTTCCCATTTTTTTCATGGAAATTGCATTGTTAACTGGTTGTTGAAGAAGAATAATTGCCCTATATGTCGCTTGGCAATTCCATCAAGTGGTGAACTTCCTTGAAAAAAACTAGAAATATTTCTTTCAGTATTTATTTTTATTTATATGTTTTATATGTTAGCATTAATTAATTACTTACATATTATTGAATTTTGAATATTTACTATTTTGTGTATGTTAGCGGATGACAATAGACTTTTAGAAGTTAAGAACGATTGAAGTATGTTTTTCTTATATGTGTGCACTACTCCCCCTTATCCTAGTTATAAGGCTCTTCTACGAAAAATTTTTTAATTCTTTTTATAAAACTCTTTGATAGTTTTAATCATATATGCCTATATAAGAATAGTGAGAGAATAAAAATTAATATGATATTGAGATTTAATATATAGGCATATATGAAAGTGACACATGGCCCCACTTGATAGGTATCTAATCTAATGCGGGCTAACTCTACCTTGTTCGAAATTCTTTTATAGTACTAGTAATATTTTTCTACACAAATTTCCATTAAATGACATTTTTTCGTTCCCTAATAAATCATTTTTCCTGACCCCTATTTAAGTAGGGTTTGGTTTTAGAAAGGCAAAAATGTTTTCCATGCAAACAGCTTCCTTTTTTTATGTGATTTTTTTCTAAGGATTTTTTTTTATCAATTACGTTAAGCAAGTTAAAACTGCTTTTTTTTAAGGAAAAAAAGATTATGGAGTCTTAGACGATTATCGCTTATATGAGTGTAAAATTCAGTCACGAGGTGAATCGGCGAAGCTCCCTTGTTATATCAGTTTCGATTTTTTAGAAGAATGCTATTATAGGGGGTGTTTAGAACACCTCAAAAATATTTTTTAGAAACACTTTTTTACAAATCAAAACAAATTCCTCTATATATTCATTTCGTATACCGTAAAAACACTTTTAAAATTATAGTTTTGTTTCTATCTAAACACCCTCTAGTCATGCTTCAAACATGCACCTTACCAGAGCAGTACATATCGATACTGCCAGATATGATGTTGCAACATCTCAAACAAGTCAATAAAGCAAGCGAGCAAAGCATGGCAAACAATATACATGCATCTTTTCGTAGGCTGTTATTGTGATGGTGAATGCTGACATTTTTCACCACAACAGCAATTACGACCAAGCTATTTGTCAAGTAAAACTTGCAAGCAAAGCATCTAACAATAAATTGAAGAGAGTAAAGTTTTGACAGGAAGAAGGATTGAGTGCTTGTAAATTTTAATTTGTTTGATAGATTTTATGGTTGATGCATTTCAAATGCCTCGTTTTTTTTTTTTTTATGGAAACTGCATTGTTATTGGCAATTCTTTCAAATGGAGAACCTTGAAAAAACTAGAAATGTTTCTTTAAGTAGTTATTTATATTTATATGTTTTATATATTAGCATTAATTAGTTAGCAAATTCTTATAATAAGGAGCATGACACATAGATACATAGCCCTACTTGATAGGCATGCATTTTTTCTGCCAAAGCTACTTTGTAACAACGGAAAATATAAATAAAGTGGTAAGAAAAGGCAAAAGAGAAGCTTACATGACTAACAAATTGCAGGTGTGAATGCAATTCAGATTCCATAATAAATAAGATAAAAACCTGATCATCTGAAAATGCAGCAGCAGGGGCCAACTATTGACAATAAGGAAGCATCACTACTGCATAACCAAGACTTTTGACTTAATATCGCTCACAATCAGCTCATTAGAGATGTTATCACTTTACCTCTATTTTTGTTAATTGATTAAGATGTCTTTCTCCATTATAGAAGAGCCCCTTTATAATAATACCAACATAATACTCCTCCGGTCCTTATTATAAGACCCAATTTGACTTTTTATTTGGTCCTAATTATAAGACCCAATCCATTTTCTCTCTTATATTTATGTATTTTTTCCAAGATAATCCTTCTAATAATGATAGTTTTAGCCAATATACTTAATTAGCAAGGATATTTTAGGAATAACAACACTTATTTATTATAAATAACCAACTTAACTTACTTCCTTAATCTCCTCAAATAAGTCAATTGGGTCTTATAATTAGGACCGGAGGAGTATATATTTTTTCATTGTACTGATTTCAAGTTTTTCACAAAGTTGAGCATTTAAGTTACTGTAAACTTGCAATTTCTTAATTTTTTTAAGGAAACAAAAGTTGAATAAATGTGTTGTAGGTGGGGGAGGAATTCAAAAAGACGGTGAGTGGCATGGTGAAAAGCTTGAGACGAGCGATCTTCGAGTAAGAGAATGAATGAATAGTCAAAGAAGATGGCTCATTTTTATTGTAGTTTAAGGGAATGAAAAATTTTGAGGAAAACATTGTAACGCTTCATTTAGTTTAATTTAATTTACTTTGTTGTCTTGTTTGATTCATGCTTTTGTTTATTTTAAAGTAAAACTTTCAAATCCTTTTAACTAATTTCACAATTTCTCACGATACTACCATTTAGATTGCTTTTCTATTAAACTTATAACTCAAACCATTCTCAATTAAAAATGAACAACTAATATGTAATTTCATTTTCAATATTAATAAAAATGGAATTTAATTGAATAGTATAAAATGTTAAATTAAATCTTAACTTATTTCATAAATAAGATGTATATATAGTTTAGTATATATACACTTTGATGTGGCCTTTTTAGATGCGTGTTGCACGCATTATGATATTATTAAGTCATGAATACAGATTAAGGAGATTCTATCTCACTATTCATTATGATCATTCATGAAGAAGAAATCAGAGTTTAAATGAGTCCAAAAAAAAAATCAGAGTTTAAAAAACGCAACGTGGAGTTAACAACTCTAATACCACTATTGTGGTTAGGGCAAAAAATATAAGAAGAATAACAAGAGATAAGAACATAGAGGTGAGAGAAAAGAGACTCAAGGAAACGGAAGAGAGAGATGAGAGAAAGAGGGATTTTCTGAATAGTACTGTAATATTGCATGTTAGATCTGATTTACAATAAGTAAGAGACTTATTTATAAGCCATTTAAGCCCGAGCTCATAACGGGCTAGCTCATTTAAGCCTGAGCATGTGACAGATGGACTGGACTAGCCTATTTTTCTAATGCTACTTAGTAGCCTGTTGGATTTGGATCCTTTATAGCCACCATATTTTCACCAGCATTATCATCTTTGGTGAGGTTTACGGTGGCTAGGGGGAGAGTAGGGAAGTCTATGACCTCGATGACTAGTTTACGCCCTGAAAGAAGCTGAAACTGTTGATCAGTTGAGCCGGGCACTTCAGTCAAGGTGATTCGAACCCTACCAGCCATGGGAAAGAACTTATAGAGAGAAAATGCTAAAAAATGTGTAGAGAGGAGATTGGTCAAAGTGAGAAAATGGCAAGACTAAAATGAGTGTTTGTTGTGTATATAGGCATGCTTGTTAACATTTCCGCCTTCCCGTCTTAATTGATATCAGTGCAAGGGCCTCATGCCATCATGATAGGTTTGTGTTAGATCAAATCTAGATCATCGAGATTCAATTTGGACGGTCTAGAAGGGTTTTGATCATAATAACTCGTAAAATTATTTTGTATGTATTTGGAGGGGCAAAGGAAAGATGAGAGTCACATAAGTGAGGTGAAAGAATTTAACTATTTATTAATAATTTTATAAAATATTAAAATTAGATTTTTTGAATCCAAATCTCTACTGGTAATGATAGGGTTGTTTATAGGATGAGACGAGACCAAAGTAGGCTTGTCTCAGTAAACAAGGACAGGATGAGATTTCCATCCCCTGTCCCGTGGCCGTCCCCATCCCATCGGGACTAAGCCGTCGAGTTCAATTTTTTTTATTACAAACCATTGAATTTTCTGGGTTTGGATCTTTTTTTTGTCTTGTAATATTTATTTTTATTAGGCTTCTGAGGGTAAAAATACTAAAAAAATATTATGTAAAAAACCCAATTATATAATACAAAAAAGGTACAAAAACAATATTATAAAATACCGTTAAAAATACTATATAATTGCTTTATGAATTATTCTATTGAGAAATAAGATTTTGTTGAGATAATATTGTAACTTAATAGCTAAAAATGCAAAAAATGATTACTACCTCCGGTCCTAATTATAAGAGCCAGTTGACTAATTTGAAGAGATTAAGGAAGTAAGTTAAGTTAGTTATTTGTTTTAAATAGGTGTTGTCTTTCCTAAAATATCCTTGCTAATCAAATGTATTGACTATAACTATAATTATTAGAAGGACTATCTTGAAAAAAATTGAGTAAATATGAGAGACAAAGTGGATTGGAGTCTTATATTTAGGACTAAAATAAAAGTCAAACAGGGTTTTATATTAAGGACCGGAGGTAGTATTATTAATAAGTGAATTGAATAATCTAATAATAATTATTAATTTATAAGTAATTTTTTAAAAAAAGAAAATATGTTGAGATGGGGTTGGGATGACTCTGTCCCGTCTTGTCCTGAAATATTTTTGTTCCGTCTCTGGGATATGATGAGACGGTCAGGATAGGACAAATTTTTTTAAAAAAGCAAATATGTCGAGATGGGGTTGGGATGACTCTGTCCCGTCTTCTCATGAAACATTTTTGTTCCATCTCTGGGATATGACGAGACGGTCAGGATAGGACAAATTTATTTTTTTGGTACAAAAGATAGGACAGGTTAAACATGACTATAGGAATATTGGTATTTTGCCACCTTGCTTACTCAGCCCCAACAAACATAGCCACCAGAAGCATCCGGCCCGGCCAATTATGGAAAGACAGGGTACTAGAATACAAATAAAGGGTTGGATGTTTTGATAAGGCCTAGTGTCTAAGTTAAGCCTGACAACATTGGGCCGTAGACCCAATAACCACAACACCGGCGCGGGGCACCGCAGCAAAATGCAACGCACCGTTCACCAATGACCCGTTCGATTTCCAGACGGTATCACGACACGTGGCATCTTCTTGTGAAGTCCTCAAAGAAGGAATAATTTTTGAATGTGAAGCCAAGCGCGGAGCGATGAAGGATCGCCCGAAAATCTAAACGGAACATGGCGGTCCCCACACCATGTGGGACGGCGTGTGATGGAAGAACAATTTCGAAGCCCACGGGAACCATCGCTACATCGTCGCGTCTGTTTGCTAGGCCAAAAACTCGCACGTTCCTTCTGTTGCCACGTGCCGATCCCAGTCTGCCCTCCTTCTCAAGGAATTTCAAAGACATGTCTCAGTACATGGTTCATTTCATGCTTCCTGTATCTTCGGTTGTACACTACAGTCCGCACAGCCTTTTAGCATCTACTGTAGTTCATCAGCTCTGTCACGCTTTCTTCATTCCCCGTCTTTTTATTCTCCTCCGATTCCATTGAGCTTTACGTGCGCATTGTTGAAGCATTTTCTGTGACAACTCCGCGGATAAAGATTCCGATCGGTTTGGGGAAGGAATACTCTGATCGGAGCTGGCTTTGAGTTTCAGAGCTTGAAAGTGGAGTTGCTGTGATTTGATCTGATTCTGGGTCGGGTTTTAAGGGAAATAAAGAAAAAGAACGAGGATAGAGGGAAAAAAGATGAACGGAGGAGGGAGGCAGGGACAGAGATCTGGTGCTACGGGAGTGCACCACCAACGCCAGTACTCGGACAACTTTCTGGACAGCTCATCCAATGGGAGGTGGCTGCAATCAGCAGGTCTTCAACACCTTCAATCCTCCGGCAATCCCATTCCTCCCCTTCAGGTTCTGATCTTTAACATGTGTGTCACTGTCTCATTTCTAATCTCGCTGACGAGAAAATTGTGGAAAATGGGAGGGAAAACTTGAATTTTTCCCCTTTTCATTGATACCCCCACCCTGATGCTAGTGGCACGCGCATGAACTAAGACTATATTTATTAGCAGAGCTTTCTTCTTTTCTCACATTTATAATCCGAAAATAATCATAACCCTTTGCCGATGATCCAATTTTTTTTCTGAAAAGAAGTCTAACTGCCATTATGATGATGATCTGATAATGTTATCTTCCGACTTTATTTCTCTGCAATTTCAATATTTACTTAGTGGATGCTTGAAATGCGAGTAGGACTATAACTTCTATGGTGGAGGAGGGATGGGAGGTAGAATGTTCAGGAATCCGCAAAGGAGCTTTAATGGGGCGAATGAGTATTACACAGAACCGTCGACACCGCCTGGGAATCACCGGTCTTTAAATCAGAGGAAGAATGGTGAAGATTCACCTGGTGATTTTAGCCCTGGGCTTTTGGATCTGCATTCATTTGATACCGAGCTTCTTCCTGAGGTGAATTCCTATAAATGCTTCCACTTGATTTCTGGCCTTTATGGTTCTAAAACAATCATATGCTTTCCTTCAGATATGAAGTCGTGACTCATACTCACATCGCATCTTTGAAGTATGCAATGTTTCAATGAATGTCTTGAAAAATTTTCATTTACCCCCAGCATTGCTGGCTTGCTCTAGCACTTGAAATTGTCTGGACTAAGGCTTCTTTCATGACAAAGAAAAAAGAAATTCAACTGCTAGAGCTCAGTTGATGTGTACCCCAAAAGATCCTGAACTCTGAACCTTTTTCACCCATTAAACCTTGTTTTGGTTGATTGGCGATGTAAAGATCAGAGATGTCAAATGAATCCAGACATGATAGTGAAGTTGATTACTTGAAGACAATAAACATTACACTCTGAAGTTGTCGTGCAAAATTTTATTTTTGCTATCATTATTATTTTGCTTTTGTTTTGAATTATTGCAAGTGATTTCTCATTCTGGAAAGATGACTTAGTTTTGCTGTTACTTTCCAACGTGGCAGATGCCAGTTACCAATGTGTATGAGAGTAGTTCCACGTATCATCCTGTTCGGGGTAGAAGCTTTGATGACTCTGAACCATACATTCCAAACAAACAGACTGGTAGAGCTCGTGCTCCGGAAAACAACCTCTTCAAGAGTTTTTCTGCAGACAAAGAGAAATCTAGTTCTGTAGCAAAAATTAAAGTTGTGGTATATTCTCTCTTAAATCCAATTTACCCATTTGTTTTCTCCTCTTAATTTCTGATCCGTGGATTCATTCCTCACTTGAAGCGTTTATGGACTGTTTGCCTGTATTGTATTACCTCCCCCCACCCCCCCAAAAAAAAGAAAAGAAAAAAGAAACTAAATAACTTCATTAACAAATTCCTTCAACTCTGAAGATTAAGATTCGTCCTACAACATTGAGCCTTGCTTGCATCTTTAATTTTGTTTTAACATTTGGGTGTCATGATTTGAATGCAGGTGCGCAAAAGACCATTGAATAAGAAGGAGCTAACAAAGAATGAGGAAGATATTGTAGAAACATACTCCAATTCTTTAACAGTGCATGAAACTAAACTTAAGGTAAGTGTAACTGGCAAGAGGATGAGAAGTAATATCCATAGTTGAAATGCGGTATGCTTATCCTTGACTTTGAGCAATATTCAATATTTGAGGATGCTATTATCTAAGCTTCTTGGTTTGTAATTTTATTCGCATATTCCTTCACTAATTTGTGTTTATAAGAAGTTTTTGGCTTGACATTTTGATTCTAATCAATGCTTTATATTAGAAGATTTTAATTTAAAATTTGAATTCTTTGCAGGTTGACTTGACTCAATATGTAGAAAAGCACGAATTTGTTTTTGATGCTGTCTTGAATGAAGAGGTTACGAATGATGAGGTACCTTTATGTATTAAATGTTCAAATGAGTAAAAAAGGGAAATATATGTTCGTATTATATTAACATTTTCATCTTCTCAGGTTTATTGTGAAACAGTGGAGCCCATAGTTCCAATAATCTTTCAACGCACGAAGGCAACTTGCTTTGCTTATGGGCAAACAGGTGATAGCAGCAAGCCAGCTTTAGCACATCATTCTGTGAATTTAAGAAGTGATACTTGCACTTCATATCTTTTATCTCAGTATAATTTTTTCATTTTTCTGTTCATTACCAACCAAAAAAATTGTTGATCTGGAAATATATGATTATTTCAGTTCTACCTCTTTTATTTACTTTAAGCACAATTTTACAAGTAGATGTTCTTGGGTGATATAGATATTACCCAGGTTTTTTATATTTCTCCTGCACCATCTTGATGCCAAAACAAACCTGAGATAGTTTTAAAATCTACAACAGGTTTCATGTCCAGAGGAATTTGATGGCTTGCACTACTGTTGGCATGTATTATAATCAAGTTATATCCTAAATAAACTTCTAAGTATTGTTTTCTACTTACATAGGTAGCGGAAAAACATACACAATGAAGCCACTTCCGCTTAAGGCATCAAGGGACATCTTGAGATTGATGCACCATACTTACAGGAGCCAGGGATTTCAGTTGTTTGTGAGTTTCTTTGAAATATATGGTGGGAAGCTTTTTGACCTCCTTAATGATCGAAAGTAAGTCAGTTTGATGCTTACTTCTTTAGCCTTTGTCTGTAATCGCGTCCTCATGAGGAAATTTACTTCTGCAGAAAACTTTGCATGAGGGAGGATGGAAAGCAGCAAGTTTGCATTGTGGGTTTGCAAGAATACAGAGTCTCGGATGTAGAGACCATCAAAGAGTTGATTGAGAAAGGAAGTGGCACAAGAAGTACTGGCACCACAGGTGCAAATGAGGAATCTTCTCGGTCACATGCAATACTTCAGCTTGCCATCAAGAGGTTAGTTGATGGTAACGCATCCAAGCCTCCCCGTCCTGTTGGCAAGCTCTCCTTCATAGATCTTGCTGGAAGTGAACGTGGAGCTGATACCACAGACAATGACAAACAGACAAGGTAGGCTTGATGAGCTTGAAGCAGGATAAGATGTGTTAACATATCTACTTATTTAGTTGACCTAAAAGTCTCAACAATAAAGCTTAACTGCTTTGTTGGTTTGGCTCTGTGCTATTTCATTCCCAAAAAATTGTAACCACAAGGTAATTTGTTGATAGAAATTTTGATTTTAGTACTGCAAATCTGGTCCTATACTTTATTATCAACTCCAGTTTCCTGCGCCCATCTATGGAGTTTGTCCTGCTGCAATATGTGAACATAACAAATACATATCATACTTGAGATTATAGCCATTGAACTCTTATTAATTTCCCCCTCTTTGCCCTTGCAAGCTTTATATATTACTCGTGCATTTTGAGACCTGGTAAACTTTAGTGTATAGAACACGGTTCAGTTGTTTGGAAACCTCTTAACAGTTTTGTTTTGTCGTTGGTTGTTTAAAATTTTATAATGCAGAATTGAAGGAGCTGAGATCAATAAGAGCTTACTTGCCTTGAAGGAGTGCATAAGAGCTCTAGATAATGACCAGGGACATATCCCTTTCAGAGGCAGCAAATTGACTGAGGTTTTGAGGGATTCATTTGTTGGCAACTCCCGCACTGTTATGATTTCATGCATATCACCAAGCTCTGGCTCGTGTGAACATACGCTTAACACATTAAGATATGCTGACAGGTAATTAAGTTTTTTTTTTTTTTTTTTTTTTGTGTAATGCTGATTTTTTTTCATGGTTCAGCATCTCCCTCCTTCAAACCTCCCATGCTTCACAATGGCACGAAACAACTATAGCTATGATAAATGAGAACAGAAAAATTTATGTCTTTGCTTTTACAATCTGAATGAAAATCCAGGGTGAAAAGCCTGTCAAAAGGGAACAATCCTAAAAAGGAAGTTTTATCTTCAAATTTCAACCCTAAAGAATCAACTACCATGCCTTTATCTGCGGTTACTGCATCAACCTATGAGGACCGTGCAGCAGATACATGGCCTGAAGAAGATGAGGATGATGAATTTAGTCCGTCTGAAGAGTACTATGAGCAGGGGAAACCTTCCTGGAAGAAAAATGGGAAGATAGAATCATACAGTACTGCTCAGGACAAGTTAAAGAAGCCCAATGGTCAGGTCAGATGGAAAGACGTGCCAAAAGTTGAATCCACTACACATTCAGATGATGATTTGAATACCCTCCTCCAGGTAACTCTTGAGAGAATGGTTATCATACGGCAAAGTCTAGAGCTCGTTGTTAGATAATGTTTATTTTCCTATTTGTAATTTCAGGAGGAGGAGGACCTTGTAAATGCTCACAGGAAACAAGTAGAAGATACCATGAGTATTGTCAGAGAGGTATATAAATTTGATATCTTCGGCATTCTTTTAGATGTCTTGTCAAGAATGCAACTGAGCCATGTGCGTCAAACTTTGAAATTTCCGCTAGTTTTGTAAATGCCTTTACATTAAATGTTGAGTCGCCTGGAGCATGCTTCTCATCTTGTTGCTTTTTCACGGGTCTTGGATAAATAATGTGCTTGAAGTCTCATCCAGTGACTTGTGAAAGAGCAGCGCACACTTTCTAGAGATTTTTTGTTGGCAAAAGAAGCAAGTATATATTTGGCACCTGGTCTACCGTCTAAATAATAATAAAAACTTGGTCGTCAGGCAGTAAGCCGCATACTGCCTCTAGTGTTCATCCTAGAAAAGGAATGGCTCCGAGAAAAAAGTTCTATAGTGTTCCTCCCCATTGCATCATTCAATCTAGAGGTGGGGTCCAGGAAGTTCATCATTTGCTTATAATTAATGTTTATGCACATATGCTTACAGGAAATGAATCTCTTGGTTGAAGCTGATCAACCAGGCAATCAATTAGATGGTTATGTAACAAGATTAAACGCCATTCTATCTCAGAAGGCTGCTAGTATCCTGCACTTGCAAGATCGTTTAGCTCACTTCCAGAAACGCTTAAAGGAGCATAATGTTTTGGTTTCCGCTGCTGGTTACTAACATCGTTTAGCAAGGAAGGAAAAAGTTATGTGCTTCATAAACTAAATGTGAAACCATGCATTTCTGCGGTTCAGTTGGAGATTACGTGAGATCCGGCATATCAGGCGGCATTATGCTAGATGATTCATAATTATTCTGTATCATGATTATTCTCCCTGGGACCAGAAGCTGAAAGTCTTCACTTTATCTTTACTCAGCATTCATGTATAAAGCTCTATGTTGATGTCTGGGGGTTATGAACGGATTCTTTATTATTAAATAGTCTACTGCTTATTCGGAAGTAGATAATTATGGGAAACTGCTAAGAATTTATTCATTCAGCTTGGAGGCATATTCTGCAGCTGTAAATACCTCCTGATGTGCATTGCTGAAAGCGTTGCTATGGTAATAATAATATATCATAATTCTTACTGTACTTGGTAACATCCCAAAGGATAAAAAAAATAGATTTTGACTTGTGAGTTTGTGTTTTGTATGGATCTAAGTTATAGATTTTAAATTATACATTCCGTTTAATTCTAAAAACAGGATCATATGAAACAAATCTTGTGGATTAAGAAAGGCAGCTAATGATAGTTAATAATCTTTCCTTTTTCTTTCGAACCCATTTCTATTAAATTTTTATATTTATTGAAAAAATGAGATAATAATAGGTAAACCCTGTTTTTTCACCAACCTTTTCAATTTTATATTTGGTAATAACCAATAAATATTGTATCATACTTTGTAAAGGGTCCTACATCTATAATAAAAAAGTGCGAAAAATAGTTTTTATCTTTAGAATTTGAGAGAGTGTTATATGCGTATTTCACCTGCAAATAATTTTTTAAAAAGATCATAAACTTGTAGTTTGCCCGAAATTTAGAGAGAATGTGTGTTTTCTTGGGAGGTGGGTTTTTCTAAAGGCATGCATATATGCTTTACACTAGATTCGAGACAATGTCCCTCCCTCCATCCTTGTTTGAATTTCTAACATCCCATACGGGCGCCTCTGCCGCCTCATGCTCACGGCTAAGGTTTCTAAGATGCCATGACTGTACTTGTGTTTTCTGATTTCTCACGCATTTCAAATAACTGAATAATATTTTAAATTCCATCTTAATCCTATGTTTCTTACTTTCTTCATTGATAAATTAACAAGAATTCAAGGATGCAGTGAAAACTATTGGAACCCAAAAACAAAAAGAAAACTTCCATAGCTTGTGGGAATTCAAACCAAACAAGTCAACCACACAGCACACCATGAGATGGAAAATGGGAGGCATGACATAGTAAGATGAAACAGATTTCATGTACATAAACACTCTGTAATGCGGGTATCCATTTAAGAGTTTGGTTCTGGTAAACGAGGAGGAACAGAGAACTCAGAGAGCATCTCCATGAAAAACTTGTCCACAACATCTAAGTAAACTGGACACTTGAGGCGAGAATAGTAATGGAGTGCCTCTTCTATGTCCAGTAAGTGCTCCACGTCATCAACATCCATCATCTCCATTTCCTTCATCTTCTGTATTAAAACTTGAACTTTTCCTCTTCCATTTCCCTTAGCTAAACTCAGATTTTCTTTTTGGTTCTTCTCTTTTCCTCTATCTTCTTCTCCTTCTTCTTTTCCTTCAATGCATTTCTTCGCTGGACTTTGCTTCACAAAACCCATTACGGCTTCAGTAGATTCAGCTGCATTCTCCAATATCTCTGGCTCTTCTGATTTCAACCCTGATATGATGATGCTATTTTCTTCTTCAATCATCTTTAACCTCCTGAGTTCAGATTGCCACTGATCATAAAACTCAAGGTAGAATTGTTCGCTTGTATAGGTCTCGGCATTGCCACTTCTACGAGAGAAAGGATTGAAGGAAAATGATCTGGGTAGCTTTTGATACTCACCAAAGAAGAAGGACTTGAAATTTTGAAGAGTTTTGTGGAGGAAAAACTTGGTCTTGCTAATGCTTTCTCTGGGAAGCATTTGTGGTTCTACTCTGAGAAGGCAATGCTTTCTCTAGGTTTATGGATTCTCTAACTCCAACTCTGCCTTGAATCAGATTTACAGATAAAGAAGCATTCGACTAGTTCCTTAAAGATACCTAAAGGCAAAAGTGAATAATTTTAAGGGAGAATGACAACTAGGTATCTCATAAGAAACTTAATACTAAATTTGGTCTTTTTAAAGGTTTCAATGCTGAAATATAAGGAAAAAGAGTACTGAATTTGGAAACTTTAGTTGTGATGAGGTTTTGATTTAATATTAGACTTCCTATAAGGTCCCTAATTATCATTCTTCCTAATTTTTCACAGGTGTTATGCGTCTTATGTGTAGGTTTTTACCTTCAACCCTTTGTCCTTGGCACTGGACTGACCCAATCTTTAGGGTCCAAGACCAAATAAAGATTTTGTCCTCTGATTTGATGATTGTTCCTCCTGGAGTTAAGGAGTTTCGAAGAATCAATGGACTTCCTAGTGTTAGAGTTGATGATTTATTTTTTATTACTTGAAATAAGAAGATTGTTTGGGATATGGACAAACTTAACAATCATTTTCAGTGAAAGGAAAAGAAAAAAAAGATGTTGAATAAACAAATAAAGCATGAGATTTTGGCCCTGAATGATCAAGAAATATTGTGATGCTTTGACTATTTGCTGTTGAAAGTGCAGTGATATTGATTAAGATGCAAAGCTAAAGGTAGGGATAAATAAAAGATTATTACAATTAATGGCCTACTAACTTTTTTTCTGTTAATCAAATTTGAAACCTTTGGGACCCATGAATCGAATTTACTTAGTGGCATATCAAAAAAAAATTTCTAAAAGAAAATTGCAAAGAGGTGCAACAGAAAGAAAGCAAGAAGTGAAAATAAGTTAAAATTCTACCAGATTGTTCATTCACGACTGCTCCCAAGAGGGGGGGGGGGACAAAAAGAGGGGTTGCCACCACAAGAAAAGGCTGAATTTCCGATGCATAAGAAAGAAGAGGGATTTTTTAAAAAAAGCTAATATCGCTCTAAAATACCTAGTTAAAATTATTTTAAAGTGCCTTACTAATTTAAAAAGTAACAATAAGGGTTGGGTCTAATGAAAAAGTCTATTCTCTTACAACATGGTGAACCAATGTTTAAATCCTTGTTAGGAGAAGTATCCGACAGTATCTTGAATAAGATTGTCTCTAATAAAAATAGTTATACCTAGAAAAAATATACTTATTTAAGAAGTATTTATGTGATAATGCACTTTCACTTCAGTTTTAATTTGCAAAAATAAGTTGAAATAATAGTATAGTGTAGCATGAGATTGCTGGCATATCAAAGTTCAGTTGTGCCCATGAAATCCTTTTATGCTCAAACCCAATCGCATCACTCTGCATTATGAAAATGAAGTGCGACATAAAGATAAGCATTAAAAGAAAAGAGAAAAGAAAAGAAAAGCTTGCTTTCGTAATGCAGTGAGGTAGCTATCCACTCTTTCCTCTCCACCAACCTAGGTTTTATAGAAAGAAAAACTACAAATATAAGCTCTTTCTTGTGCAATGTGAAAAAAAAAATTGATAAATTGAAATACAATTTTTTGGGTAAAATTTAAAAATACCAATTTTACCAAATACTACCTTTGAAAATCAATGCGGATCATTAATTCAAGCAAGGAGCCTAATTGACAAATTTGTCATGAAGGTTGTCTAGTGATTCAAATGTATGCCATAAGTTGTTCCAATAAGAGGGAAAAAAAAACATTTTTTTAAGGAAAGGAGAACATGGCCCCTGAAATTTTATTGTTCCTCCGTTCTAAAATACTAACTCTTGTTCTAAATATAAGAGCTAGTTGATTAATTTGAGTAATTAAAAAATAATATAAGTTAGTTATTTGTAATAAATAAGTGTTGTCTTTCCTAAAATATTCTTACGAATCAAGTGTATTGACTAGAATTACTATTATTAGAAGGACTACCTTGAAAAAAAATGAATAAATATAAAAACAAAATTAATTGAGGTCTTATAATTATGCTAAAAATAAAAGTCAAACAACGTTTTGTATTAAGGACTAGAGCTTTTTTTAAATAGTACTCTTCCTTAATATAAGACCATTTAACTATTTGATTAGATTAAGAAATTAGGTAGGTTAGTTAATTATAAGAATATGACACTTTTTCCTAAAATACCGTAATCATATTTCTTAATACCCATCTTTCTCTTTACTTGATTATGATTGAAAGAATATCCATAGAGGTAATTTAGAGATAATTGATAATATGAAAAATGGGTCTTATATTTAGGACCAAAACCAACTCATTGTCCTATATTAAGAACCAGAGGAGTATTTTCATTTCACTTTATGTCTTTATAAAAGTTGTTTATTGATTTTTTTATTATATATTTATTTATACACTACCATTCAGTCCCAAATATAATAGCTAATTTATCATGCTATTTACACAATAAATTAGGCCTTATATTTAGAATTGGATGTAGTATAGAACATTATAAAAACTAACTCAAATACAAATAAAAACACAAAATAACGTGATTTTGAGTTATTGAAAAATGTTTTTCTTCAAAAAAAGGATAAGAAAAACCCATTAGATCAATTTTGACTTGTTTTAAGATGTTTGAGACCACACATATCGCCAGCTGCTTCGGTCCAGTTTTGATAACACTGTTACAAAGGGGTTAAATGGAGAAACATTGTACCCAAAAAAAAAAAGTGGAGAAACAAAATAAGCATTCCTCTTTACTAATTTTTTTTAATATAAAAAATGTGCCATTTGATCAATTGGTAATTAATTTGGAGTGATAAAAGGATAAATTTTTGATCATATATTTTTAAAGAAAATAAAAAAAAAACATTTGATATTAAATACTCATTTTTCCATACTGCAAATAGCATCAGAAACGTTGGCAAAAACATTAAAAGCCATCAAGGAAGCCCAATAAGGGTCCAATAAGCCAAGTTAAGGGTTGGCTTTGCTTGTCTCATGAATGGGCCCATGGGCCTGAACTCAGGACCAGGTTCGCCTCATAAGTGAACCCTAAAACCCCATTTTCATTTCGCTCGTATAAAGCCTATCCTGAACGCCGCTTCTTGTTCTTCCATACTTCCTCGGCTGGAGCTGAATCTAGGGTTTCGGGGTGACAATGGTATGCTCCCTCCCTCCCTTGTCCTGATGTTTAATGAACAACATGCCTGTGCCTTTCTTGAAGGTTCTCTTTTTCTTTTTTTTATGCTGAATTTGGACTAATCTTGTGGCGCCTTAAATGGAACGCAGGGGAAGGGAACAGGAAGCTTTGGTAAGAGGAGAAATAAGACCCACACTCTCTGTGTGAGATGTGGCCGTCGCAGCTTTCATCTCCAGAAGAGTCGCTGTGCGGCATGTGCTTACCCCGCTGCTCGCAAGAGGAAATGTAGGTCTTCCTTTGAATTTCATGGATCGATTGGCTTGGTTAACGAGTTGATATCTCTTTGCATTAGATTAAGACATTATCTTTGAATTCTGATGCGTGTGATCGCCAGTTCGATCTTTTTGTGGGTATAGATTATATCATTTTCTGATTACGATTCTCAGATAACTGGAGCGTGAAGGCAATCCGTAGAAAGACCACAGGAAGTGGACGGATGAGGTACTTGCGTAACGTGCCTCGAAGGTTCAAGAGCGGTTTCAGAGAGGGTATGCCAAATCATATCTATCTTAATATGCAGTGATGGGGTTTAATGTCTGATTGGTTATAATTATCACTGATTTGTTCTTCGGGGTATTTTGATTCAGGTACTCAAGCCGCACCCAGGAAGAAGGGAGCCGCCGCCGCCACAGCTTAAGTCTCCGGTAGATCGTTGTTTTCTAAATCTGGTTAATTAATTATAGGGTTTTGAGGTTTTTATTGTGGGGGCAAGCATTTGGACAATTATTAACAGTTTCTATGGCCTCATTACGTCTGTCATTTTTGTCTCGAGTAATATGTAGTTGCTTTCATTTAAATGAGAAGACTGTAAGACTATTTGGTTGTTTACTGAGAGTTTATGGCGTCTATAATTTTGGTTTTACATTTAATGGCTCGTAGGAAATCCCATCATATTGAAGTGTGGTGCCCAATTAACCTATCTTGCATGTGACGTGCTAAATTCTGTTGACGCTTAGGGTAGTTTTCTTGAGAGCATCAGGGGGATAATCTGGTGATTTCAAGTCCAGTTTCCTCATCTATAAGGCCGAACGGCCAGGTTTTTTGCCTTAACTTGGTTGAAGTCTGCCCATTATTTTTTTTTTTTGGGGGGGAGGGGGTGGATCTTCACACCATTTATTGTAGGGGCTATTGGATATTTGGATGCTTGAGTAGATTCTTTCGTTGAATCTAATTTTTGGGCTAACTTGTACATAAACCCCAGCTATCTGTAAAGGGGTTGGGGATTGTTTCTCCAAACTTGGCTCTTTTTCCTGGGTTGGGGTTTCAAGTTTATGAAGGGTTAAAAAGCCTGGCGTTTTCATTGGTCTGACAATGAACATTGAATTACTGGATTGGGGAGTAGTTTTACGGAGTAATCAACTTTTTTTTTTTATAATATTTACAAGACTGAAGCGCAAATTTATGCTCATAAGTGATGATCGTACCCAATCCTAATTCGATTAAGTTTTGTTGCTAAACCATGACGGTTCCGGAAGCAACATTATGGTGTTAGTATGCCCGTTGTTTTTCTATCAATCTCTTTCTCGTTTCCCTTACCAAAATGATATCATGGTGCTAGTATAGATTGAAATTCTATTCCTGGAAATGAGATATTTAACTTCAATTGTTTTCACCTTTTACAAAATGAATTCCTGTTCAAGGTTGCTGTTATTGAAGATGTTTATCACTTTGATATGGGAATTTTGAGTTTTTTAAATGTTTTCACTTTGACCTTGGAATTTCAATCAAGTTCTAGTTAGTCTTGAATATGTTTAATCCTTTATTATTGAGAGTCTTTTATTTTTCTCACCAAAATAAGGGTAATTATGATATTCCCTTTTTTCAGTAAAAAACGTGGGGATAAGTCTAAAAAGATACTTCCCCGCTTTAGGTGTAATTTAACCTTTTGATTCCAAGATTAAGAAAGACAAACTATCATGCTGCTTTTGTTCCTTTTTTCTTAATCAAAATTTTTCATTGGGCCAATTGATGTCATGAACTCGTCGCGAGTTCTAAACTCGATGTGACGTGGGAATGATTACTGATAATAAAATTATAAAAGAAGTTAACGATACGAAAAAATCTTTGCTTAAAAATAAACAGTTGTTTGTCAAATTTTATTAAATTTTACAATGACATTCCCTCTATCTTTTTTAATAAGTGACAACCATCATCTTTTTTTTTTTTTCCTAAATATAAATAACATTTATAAGTTATTTTAAATTTTTGCAGCAAATTTTTTATTGTCTCCCAATAATTATTTATTTTAATATTCAATATATTTATTGTCTTATTTTTTAAACTATTATCTATCTTTACCACACATTTTCTGTTTTCTCATAATTCTTTTTATTATAATAATTGTTTTATTCTCTCTCCCTATAAATAAAGGTATTTTAGAAAAAAATGTTTAATTTTTACCTATTTATTGTCTTTAACTAATTTTTTGATTTATGTAATAAAGTCCCATGTTGCTCATAATAAGGAAGGAATAGAGGGAGTACCATTTAATAATTTTTTAACATTTGTATAGTAGTATTAAATATTAAATGACAAGTATTTTAAAATAAAGAATTGGACATATTTTCATGTTTTTACAAGTCACTTCTAACATTTTCATTGGAACTAAAAAAGAGTTTAAAACTACTAAATATAAAAATTAACAAAATTTTCAATTTTATCCTTATTTAACTATTTTTCAGTAGGCAAAGGATCAAGTTTTGATGATAGAAACTAATATTGAATAAGGGCAGCGTGAAAAATGTAATCAATATCTTATATCGTGACTTGTGAAAAAGATTTAAAAAAATTCCTTCCAAATAGAACTGGAGGGAAAAAAAACCAAGGTTCTTTGTATCCCTTGTCGTCTGCGTTGGAAGAATTCCGGCAGTAGCAAAAATAAGCATCCACATATATGCTTTTTTGTTTTTTTAATAGTACAGTCTCCACATGTAAGTTTATGAACAGAAAATGCAATCATGCATATTCATTTTTCTAAACCAAATACGTGGACCTGTGATCACTGCTTGAGTGCTTTCATCCTGTCCACGAATTCATGGCACTCGGGTAATTTCGCAGAGATTAAACTTGTGACATCCAGCTATACTTGCCATGAAATGTTGTCATTTTAATTAAGTGTTGGGTTTATCTTAAATTTTAAATTACTATTCAAGTTGAGGCAATAAAAGACTATCATGTAAAGATGAAATAATAGCATTGCTATCAGAATTTACAAAAATAGTTGCGCTGCGAGCAAAAATCAATGGATGGCATGGCAGGTTGCGGCGATAAATGGGGCAACCAGAACGTAAGCAATACGAAAACCAAGCATCCATCAAAATGTTTCTCAGGAGCTAAATTGGAAGTAATCATCTTCACTTAGATTTAAACTCACCAAATTTGTGTTTTTCTTCATGAAGCTGCTTGAAGGCGTAGTCTAGTTCTGGAAATGCCGATAATATAAGTAACTCGAGAAGGTCATAAGCCAGCTGCTTCAAGCACACAGATGACTGTGACAAGGGAATCAACAAGAGTCATTGAATTGCAACCAAACTAAACTATGATAAGATGAATGGCAATAGTGCAGAGTAGCAAGATCATAAAGCTAATTATAGGAATACATGTCTTGAAAAACAGATAATCATGATCCAAGTGAAGCTAGTGAATTAAAAGTGCAATATTCATAGGACAGATTGAAACTAACGTAGGATAAATAAAACAGACACTATGGGTTGATGTAACCCAAAAGTATAGTGTTGATGTTACAACTAACAACAACACTGCAGAAACAAATATTCTCCTCCGAGAACATAAAAACATCAAGCAATTAAGAGGAAATTACCTGTAGAAAAAAATAGAGATCCCGAGCACACTGTTCATACTCCTTGCGACCAACAAGACCAACAATTGTTAATGGTGCATGATCTGCATGCACGTAGCAAGCAGAAGCAGGAAAGAAGCAGCAATATTATTTTATCTTTTTTATAATTGAGATAATCCACCTACTTAAATAGAGATGAAATTAGGCAAAGTGCATTTTTGGTCCCTCTAGTTTGTTTATAAGAAAAATTTAGTCCTAATTTCAATCTGAACAACGTCAACACACTGACATACACTCAATAGTGCAATCACGACCAATTTATTTTAATTGGAGTAACGTTGTCCAGAAAAAGCAATTAAAGACAACTTTGAATTATTTTGTCTTTAATTCCTTATTTCCAGATGATTAAAAAGAAAGGATCATAAAACTAATTTGCTTCACTGTGCAATCAACAGACTTAAATAATGGACAAACGAGATGACATGCATCACCTATCATTAGTGAATACACAAACTTTGCACGTCGATCTGCCTCCTGTTGCTGTTCATCGTCCAACCTAGGAGAAGATGCTGCTGGAGATTGTTGGCCAGGAGGTAAATTCTGAGACGAGCTTGGAGGTGGCGGCCTTCGTTTCGGATGCTTGGTTAAGAATATTCCATCAGGCCAGAGTATCTATAGAAGTAGCACAATGGCTTGTATCAGCATATCATGTATTTATCAAAGAATTGTACATCAAGTACATTGCTCCTTTCATATGCTTCTTAGAGAGCTCAATTACGGCCCAGAAACATTATCAGGTATGAACATTATATTAAGTAAATAATACAAGACGTAGGCGTCCAGAAATTTATCAAAGCTAATGGATACTTAAATGGCAAGTTTCCAGAACATTACAAATTCTATAACAAAGCAGGTCACAAAATTACATGTTCAATTCGGCTGATCCCAGAAGCAACCACAGATCCCTTACGCAGAAGCTGGATTTTCTCTATCAACCAATCATCAAAGGCATCACCCATTCCTAATTGAAGAATCTGTTTGGCTACCCAAAAAGCCTTCCGCCTGCATCGAACACAAGCTAAACATTATAAGCAAAACTTAGCTTGTGGATCTCAAAACCAATATTTTATATTTAGGATAAACATGATTTAATAAGCTACCTAATCCAGCCACCATCTTGAACCTGGAAGATAACATCAACCAGATCCAATATGGGTACACTCAAATTTGGTGGAACCCACTGCATCAAAGAATGCAATATTATCAGTACCAGCTTCCATCATGATTCACACATCTAATAAATGTTCTAAAAGGAAACACGTCAATAATTGAATATTAACTCGCACTGAATATTACAGAATGTCTTCACCAAAAAAAAAAAAAATTACAGAACTAGAGATGAGACATTAAGTGACAACTAGAGAAGACTTGAGTTATCTTGAGATCACCTCGGTAGGAATAGCATCAGATGAAGTATTATGGGGTGAATTATGTTCCTTGTCTGAACCATTAGGCTTGCTTCCTTTCACTGTATTTGGTAAGTTCTTCGGAGATGGTGCATTCTTTGATGCTTTAATATCTGCACTAATGCTAGAATTTTCTTTTGACCTTAGTCCATCGGCCATGTGATTATTTCTTCCTCGCAAAGCAGCATCCTTATTGTCTGTGTTATGGTTTTCTCTCCTTGAGAGCAAGGGGCCACTCGCAGATGTGGACAAATTAGAAGCTCTTCCAGTCTTTTCAGATGGCTTGCCTTTCAGGTCAACTAGGATAGATTTTAATAAACAAAGAAATGCAAAACAAGTCAAAAAAGAGTGGGGCAAAATCAAATTGTCGCCACACAACACTATCCATCAAACATGAGTCACCTGACAATGTTTCAATGATAGAAAATGAATTCGTGAATAGGTAAGTCTGCAAAATAAGACACAGTAATAAGAGATAATCCAAGAAAAACAAAACCACTAGGCAACACAACGTTGAAATGAGGGACAAAAAATTGGACCTGCGAATCAACACTGAGAAAGTCCCATACTTCAATTGATCCTGAAACTGTTGGAAGCTGCATGA